CCCGACGAGGCACGCGAAAGGAGCGACGATGAAAAGCGGGAAAGGGGCCAGGCGCGAGCAGCCCCTCCGGCCATTGTTTTGCGACCTACATCTTGCTCCGCCGGCTGCATTATTCGCGCTAGCCGGAGCTTGGCCGCGCGCGCATCCGACGACGAGGCCTCGCCGAAACTCGATCGCGTCCTTTGCGCCGTCGGCTCGCAGCACGCGGGTGCGCGTGTCGGAGAGCAGCTCGCCAACCACCACCACCACTCGTCCCCCTGACCCTCCGCTCGCCTTTGTCGCGGGCTTTTCTCATCGTCGGTCCTCGGGAATGTATCATTCCCCTCGCTGCGAGGCGACTCGACGCACATTCGCTCCTCGCTGAAGGCAATTCGCGCGAGCGCGCTCGAGCTGACGTCGAACGTCCAGGATTCTCTCTAGCTAATACAAAACGGCAGAGATTGAATAAAGGCGGGACGCGTGAAGCTTCTACCACTACCGTACTATCGCTTTCGAAAGTTTTGTAATTTGAGTTTGAACGAAAGAGCGCAAGCTCGTCAATAAGACCGTTGTGTCTGTCTAAAAGACAATGTGACCGACTTGAAGGCGAATCGATGCAGAACGCCATCGCGTGGCAGCTAATCTCTGCCTCGATGACATTGATAAAATTATCCCAATTCTCATTGAAATAGTAACATCGCGAATGTTTTCGCGTAGAACCAACATGCAATTCCGTACGTTACGTTATTCTACACACAATAGGATTGGCATTCGAAGCCGGCAACTTCATAAGCGAATTATCTGGAGCACAGGACTCGGTCATACCGTAGGTTATCTATATATATACGAATTGGCGAATATCGATAATCCGCTTCTCCCCTCCTTTGAAAGCTAGCCAATTTCCTCGCCCGCTCGCCCGATCCTTTTATTTCTCTATAAATAACCCGTTTTCCGAATGGCGTTTTCTGTGCGTCGCCGTTCATAAACAAACAAGCACGAGCGCCAAATTGACCTGCGTAATTCCATCGCGGCTTGAAATAATCGTTTGGCCCCCCCTTCGGACTCTAATCGAAAGGTACGCGGCGTTCGATCGTTATTTTATCCAACGAATGCCGGGGAAGGTGATTTCTTCCGTCGATGCTTCGCTCGACTGTTCGTGAAAACGAAGCGCGAGCTGCTCACTTTAATCCGCGGCCGAGTTGCTTTTTGTCACGGGTTCGCGTCTCGACTGCGCGCGCTGCCGCCGAAAGGAACCGCAATCGGTGTGCTTCGTTGGGAGTGTCTTTGAAATTTCACGCGTTAGAACGCCGCCACGCCGGTGAAAATGAGAAGCGAACCGAATGTATATATTCGCGCGCAAAATGCAGCATCGGTCGGCTCTATGATGCGCGCGCACTTTTCGCCATTCGTGCGAATAGCACGTTTTTCGCGGATTATGACGGTGCCTGCATCGCGCCTCGCGGATCAAATTCGAAATTCCGCTGAATAATATTTCAGCTGAGAAGCGTGGAAAGCCCGTGGTCGAACGAAAACAAAATGAATTTCGCGGCAAGGTACTGCGAAAATTGCGCGGAAACGATGTGTTGACATTTGAAAGTGGCTCTGTGGATTCTGCTCTAAAGAACAGGATACGTCGAGTCGACAACGCATAGAATCGCAGGGAACGAGCGTACTTTTGGAAAGGAAAATCGACGCCCCATTTGGGCTGAAGGCGTTGTATAAGCTGCATCGCGTGCAGCTGTAAAACGGCCAGTATCGAGCGGGGGTGGTCAGGCGTAGACCTTGAAGGCGAGCAGCGCATACGTGGGCGGCTATATGGTCGCAGCGATAAGCGGAGCTACGAATTCGCCGGATAAGGGGTGGGGGTAGCCATAGGTACACCGGTCGTTCGTTAATTATTAGCCTTCGCGAGACGGAGACTCGATCGCGTTGTTTACGATCAAACGCTGCCACGGCGGTTGCGAGCCGCTTTTCTCGACGCAGCTGATCCCGCGGCTCGGTCAAGTCGGACGAACGATTTTTGTCGACGTGCCTCGACGCTTCGACGCGAGAGCAGCGCGACAGGAAGACAATGCATATATACGTAAGATCGCAGTGTTCAACGCTTCGTGATTACTTATGGTGCGATGCGGTTAGCTTGTGGCGCGATGAACGAGACTAAAAATAATAGAGCGACTGTAAACGTGCAGCGATGGTGGCCTTGCCGCGTTCCAGACGCGCCTCGCGATGTACTATAGCGATGCTTTCGTGTTGAGTCACAAGCTCGACGATAACGCGCCTGCACGCGGCTGTTGCGTATACGTATTTACATGCACAAGCGTCATTGTGATTTTTAGCTGGTGCGTCGTGTGCTACTCCCCCCCCCCCTCACCTGCCCATCTCCTCCCATGTCGCGTGACTTGTGTCCCTTGCTCGGGTTCGCGTTCGCGCATCAGCTGCTTTGTTCGATTCACGTCCGGCCGAGTGACGCTCGAGTCGAATGTGGAATTTTCAGATGGCTTGATTCCTCGAAGAAACGTCGCTGGCAAGTTTTTCGGACACGGTGCAAGTCGCACGCTAACGTAGCGTGTGACATTGAAAGGTAACCTCTGCATGTAACCTACGACCCCTGCGACCGTAACGAATCGAATAAACGAGAAGGCGTCGGGTGTTAAATGAGGCAAACGAATGATTAGGGGAGCTAGAGGCGTATCGAAACCCATATAAAAACTGAAAGAGTCGCTAGAGAATGGCAAAAGTGAAGACGAACCCGCAACGCGCCGTGAGAGCGAAGATGGACTAGGTGTATTGAGCAGCGCGAAAGCCGTCAAGCGGAAAACAAGCTCGGACGAAAAAGCCCGGTAGCGCGCGCAAATCAGAATGAAAGGGGGGAAGAGAGAGAGAGAGAGAGAGAGAGAGAGAGAGAGAGAGAGAGAGGGAGAAGAGCTGCGGAGCTGTTGAAAGAGTCGACTCATTCGGAAAGTGCTCGTGCGGATGATAAAGCCGCGGGCTGGCACAACTCGAGGATTCTTACTTCCGCCGCTCGGCCGAGAACAATATTTTGCAAGCAATTACGAGAGGGGGGGGGGGGAGAACTAGTGCTCTCGAGAAATGCAAACCCTCCTCAGTCCCTTCTTCTTCGTTTTTCTCATTAATCTCCGCTTTCACTTCTGCCTCGCCTCGGACTCGCAGATGATATTGGACCGAGGTCCGCTGGGAAATGCTCGCTCGGAGAAGTCTGACGAAGTAAGGTTCGCCGCGAGGCATCCTAGCTTTTACTATACTGACGAGAGATACGAGTACATACGCTCGCCTGGCTGCTCGTCGCGGACCGTTGCGAATGATTTTGCGCGCGAGCCTTTCCGTAACATCACCAGGCGCGAGAAAACGGCCGCGAAAGGGCGCACAGTTACGGCCATGCGCGAGTTCGTTCGAAGCTAGACATCGGCGTCGGATACCTGGCCAAGGGAGCCCATTACCCCCCCGCAAAGGCGACAGCCAGAGAAAGCGTGCCCGGCCATCGGCAAACTGTCATAAATCAGCTCGACGGGCAGAAAACGGCCGGGATGACGAAACAATTTCACGAGGCGAACCTATACAGTAAAACTGTGACGCGCTCGAGCGCGAAAGCGCCATTTGAAACTCGCGAGGCAGGCGCGCGCTCGTCCGCTTTAAAGCGCAAAAAACAACCAAACAAGCAAACAAACAAGCAAACTCGTCGACCATTCGCGCGGAAAAGGGAGATCCAGCGAATGTCCGTTCGCGAAGTATTGATTATTTTTATGAGTTTTAATTGCTTCAACGTCGTGCTTATTACGCGATTCGTCGATTTCAATGGAAATTGTTGAAATCCTCTTTGGACATTAGCGAGAATTAATGACCCACGTACGGACTATATGTATTTTTTAATTTTACAAAGAAAAAAGAAAGAAAAAGAATTCCATGCTAATCGCCAAAAAGATATTTCTATAATAGTAACGAGTCATTTGAAAGATGAACGTTCGGCTGTGAAGTCATACCTGCACCTTAATCATTCATCAAGTGATACTAAATTATCCGATTAATTTCGACAAGTCGAGCCCGCAGAGTGGCGACGCCGTGTCCGAGTTGACGTTCGTTTTTCATACTCGCATCGGGAATATTCGCGCGAATCGTCTGCACGGTGCGGGTTTAATTAAAATAATTCGCCCAGCCACGCACGGCTCCGTGAGAAAAAAAAGAAAGCCCTTGCGCACAGGCGTTAGAAGAGCGTAATTAATATACACGGCGAGCGAATATTAGCGTCACGTCGTTTAATAACGCGGACGTTCGGCGCCCCTCGTGCATATAATTAGTCTCGAAGTATGCGCACGACAAAGCGTCGACGGCACGACAGCAGCCAACAACACGCCCCGTCTGAAATTGCAGTGGCAAGCGAAAACGAAGCCGCGCGCGCGTTCGTCGCGAAACTTTACGACCGCCGCGCGTGCCATTCCCCGGCGAGCTGCCGGACGAGAAACAAAGACCGCTCTGGCGCAGCCTCGCCGCCCATTATATTAATCCCGAAATCTGGATCATGCAGTGGCTGCTTGGCTCCGCTGCGCTATAGATGCGCACTCGAGTCGCGCTCGCCTGCGAATTTGCACGCACGGTGATTTATGCAATAGCGGCCTCGACTACCGTTCTCTATGTTTTTTTTTTCTTCCTTTTTTGTTTCCGCTCGTACGGGAGTCGAGTATCGAACGCGGTACTACCTCGCTGTTGTTTTCAGCGCACACGTGAGTCGGACGATTGATGCGCTCGCGCAAAAAAGCCCCGTACGGCATGGAGGTTATAAAAGCGAGCGACCCCGTACACTAGACGAGCGAGGGTTGGTTGGTCGTCGTGTCAATGAAAACAATGCGGACGAGTGCACTCGAGAGGCCGCGAATCGATAGCCCCCCTCCCCTCCCCCGCGGCGCCGTCGCGGTCGTGGTCGCCGAGGGTGTGAAGTCGCGGCACACATCCCAGCGCGCGAGCTGCAGTTCGCAAAAGGACAGCGCTACGGGATGACGAAGACTTACGCGTCGCTCGTTGGCTCGGTTGAGGCAGATGCGCCGGCTGCGTCGCTGAGGCATTGTTGACACAGGTGTTCACCTCATCAACGTCGGCTGACGATTGGCTGGCTGAACGGCGACGATGCGTCGTTGCTCGCGTTCGTCCTCGTACTGAAGAGGCGCGACCACACCGCTGCTGCCGCCGGGATTTTCGCCATGGAAACGTGCGCGCAGATTTCCGTCGCTCAAGCTGGCATCTCGCGGGGGGTCGGCGAAACGAGCGCCGAGCTCAACCCTCGTCGATGATCAAGGGGCCTAGCTCGCGAGTGCTCGCCACTGCCACGCTGGATCTTCGAGAGCTTTCGCTCGTGCTTTTGAGGGTGCTGTGCAACCCCGAGTGGTGTGTACGCGCACATTCCCGGCTTCACCTTAATGACCGTCGATCGCAAATGTGATGAGCTCTGCTCGTTATGCTGCGGCGCTTTTCTTTTCTCCTACTTTTCTGACCGAATAAATATTCATTGAAATTTCATGATTTTATTTTTATTGTAATACCCTTTGCCCTTTCATCCTGGCTTTATTATGCGGACGATCAAACACAATACTAAACGTCTGTCTATGTGAAAAATATTCTGAAAAAAATTGTAAAACTCTCATTTCAATGCTGTAATCGAACATTAAATAGCTATTAAGTTATTATATGTTTTTTAAGCACGGATAAAAACAATCATGAAAACGACTGAACGTGAAAGTGAGAAACTTTGGCAAGTAGTATATCCATACGTATCGGTCAGGCACAAACATATTTTAAATATTCCGGCCGAAATAATAAATAGTATTTCGAGATCTGGTCAAAAAGCAAAGCAATATTCAAAGCTTAATTGAGTGAGCCATACGTCAGGAGATTAGACTTAATGCGCGTTGATAATACGCATCATTATACTTTACTTTAATGCGAATCATCTATCGTCGTATACACGAATACAGTCAATATAAAAAATAGCGGTATAATTGTACATTTTACGAAAACGTACAAATTAATTAATTACACTCGACGTGTAGTATTTAACGAGTTACTTTAACCGTTATCAGTTTACAGTTTTTATTGCAACCTGTTCATTCCGACTAATACAAAACGATGAATGAAATTAAAACAGCTGATTTCTGTAGCGCACACATACATATTGAACGCAATCACTTGTAGTTTGAATCACTCGGTGATGAGAATTAGTAATAAAAGAATTTCTTATAGCTAGATATAATTTAATCATATAGCTCTTTTATAATTATGTTAACTGAGCATCAATGTCACTAATATAATAAACCAAAAACGTCTATCTTCTTCGCTTAAATGTTAGTCGAGCTTTTATCAATTTCGACTTCAATAGTTATGTTCACAACGTAAAGCATACATGTAATATCAACAATACAAGATGTCAAGATCGGTAATAATAATTTTTGGAGCTTTCAGCTGATCGCTCTTAAAAAACTTAATTAAATTTCCGAGTCAATTATAGTAGTTTTTGGTGTTAGAAAAGCAATATACCAGTTCGATTCTATTTTATTATACAGGAAATAATCGATTCCAAATAAAATCGCTAAAATAATCGATTTTTTTAAATGATCGAATACGTTTAATTAATCGAATAAAATCGCACATCCACAATCTACATTCCAAAATCGTTATGCCGAAATCATAACCTCAAATAAAAAAGCCGGTGACAATCTGTCGTTTCATCTTTGTTGCATATGCAAAAGAACGTTGACAAGTTAAACGTTATCTTTTTATTGTGAACATTTCAAGTGAAAATGAGAAACGTGGAAATAAAAGCGAAAGTTGACAACATCGATGAAGTTGAGAAAAAGGCAATTGAATTGAGCGATACTCCGCTTAAGGTTATCAATCAACATGATATTTTTTTTCACATACCCGTTAAACAAGCTACAAATGGTGGTAGATTAAAATTACGTGAGTTTGAGGTATGAGATACTTTCTTAAGGTAATCATTTAAAGTAATTATTAGAAAATTTATTGGTAATTTTGAAATTTTGTAGGATGACACTGGTGAACTGATTTATTATGAACGACCTGATATACAAGGTCCAAAACTCTCTAACTATACAAAAGTATATTTAGATTCTGACAGAAGAAAGAATTTGAGAGAAGTTTTGACTCAATCTAATGGTATTTTAGGAACTGTTGAGAAAACTAGACATCTATACTTAGTGGGTCAAACACGTATTCATATTGATCGAGTTCTTGGCTTAGGTAATTTTATGGAGCTTGAGGTATGATTCTTTCAACTTAGATTGAACATGATATTTATAGTTTGTTATTGGCTTGCAAATATTTAAATATTTATGTACACTTTTAAGGTTGCCCTAGATTATGGTGATGATCCAGCAAAAGGAGAAGAAATTGCCAAAAAGCTCATGAAAGAACTTGGAGTTTCAGATAGTTCCTTACTGAGTGGTGCTTATTTGGACATGGTATTGAAAAAATAAAAGAGACATCGTTTTGATTAAAATATTATTTATAACAGTATTTTGATCCATTTGATTCAGGCCCCTTCAACAATTCTAATCTAACTTAATATATTCTAAAAATATGTATAAAAACAAATAAGCTAAGATGATGAATACATATTTTTGTACTTCTAAGTAAATTCTAAGTTTGTACCACAAATAATAAAGTTTTGTAATAAATAGTTATTTTTACTGTTTAAATTTTCCCGCCAAAATAACAAAGTAAGAATATGAAAGGTTAGAGGACTGCGAAGATAACCCCGGGTTTTCATGGGAAATTGTTAGCCAAAAAGGGAAAACGGCATTAATTGCTCTAATTATATACTGGAACGAACATTTTAACAATAAATTTATTTCACAATCATTCATTCAACATAATTATAGTATTACCTGCGTAGTATTATCATATGTAATTACATGTAGATTGTTCTAAACTTTTATGTAAAGGCTTTATTTACAAAACTGGTTTCGCAAAGCCTTTGTGTAGCTGTATTTAAAAATATTATTACATAATATTTTATCTGTTTTTTGCGATTTCAATGGATTTTAACACTAATGGCTAACAAGGTGAATAAAAAAAACATTTTTTCATTTCGGTATTTTAAACTGACTCACGAGTGAGAGGCGAACCAGACGAACCATTAGCCCCTATACGTCTACGACTAGCATGACGCTAGTAAAACACATACTTGGAAGTGGCTTATGTTCATTTGAGAGCGCCAGGGCTTGGGATTAGAATATTCGGATTGTGTATTAGATACTTGTGGTTTATGTGTAACCCAATAGAATAAATATTTGTAGATTTTTTTTTAAGTGGCCAACCCGATGAGAACCGTAGATATGTACCGACCGACCACGTATGCCGTCGATAACAAACTTATGGTCTATTCACAAGGTGTCGCTAGTGGCCTTGTGGAGCAAACCTTGGGGAGATGAGATGAGACAACAACTTATACAATGTGTTTCAACTCTTGTATACAGTCTCCATAGCGTCAGCGTAGAGCTAACATGCGTGTGTGACAGACAGTTATGTTGTATAGATAAATATTATTATTTTTATGTTGCTTTGATTAATTTTTTTGTTATTTGTTAGAGTTGTTTTTTTTAAAATGGAAGCAAAACCGAAAAGTGAACATTTGTTATCTTTGAAAGGTAAGAATTGTAATGAAAGAATTACACGAAAATCTAATTTATTAAATAACAATTATATCATTTACCCTTTATGTTTGATATGAAAAATTGTAAATTGTTTTTAAGTGATGAGATTGACTAGACCAACACTGGCAAATCCAATAGTTGTGACATGTGAAAACTCGGATTTACCAGGACATATACTAAACATAGCATTGAAGAATGATTGCACTTCTCTAGAAGGAATGGAAACTCTTGCGGTTGGTCAATTCATGGTTTTGCCTCAAAGTTTTGGGTACTGACATTGTTTTGTTTTAAGTGCAATAACACTGAAATTTTATTAATTATTAATTTTTTGTCTTCCAGAAATATATATTTAGGAGAAATATTCTCTAGTTATTTATGTGTTCACAATGGAAGTCATCAGTCAGTTAAAGATGTTACAGTCAAAGTAAGTTCAAGAATTATATAACAATCAACTATAAAAATTAATTATAACAAAATTTTTAGGCTGATCTACAGACAAGTACTCAAACTATCCCTTTATCTGGTCAAAATTACCAAATAAGAGAATTGGCTCCAAATTATACTATAGATGAAGTTATCCATCACGAAGTCAAAGAAACTGGAACACACATGTATTAGTGATTTCATTACCTCTAATTTAATGCAACACATATTTTACATAAAAATTTTGTTTTCAGATTAGTTTGTGAAGTAGTATATACTCCAATAGCACTAGGTGCTCAACCAACATCTTTTAGAAAATTTTTCAAATTCCAAGTTGTCAAACCGTTAGATGTTAAGACAAAATTCTACAATGCTGAAAATGATGAAGTGTATGTTGAAGCACAAATTCAAAATTTAACAGCATATCCTATTTGTTTGGAGAAAGTGGCATTGGAATCATCTCATTTATTTACTGGTAAATAAAAAATGTTTAATTTATAAAAAAATAATTAGTGATTTCACAAATCTTTAACTTACAGTCTCAACGTTAACTTCAAATGAAAAGTCTGAGTCAATTTATGGAGTGGTAAATTTATTAGATTCTGGTCATAGTCGACAGTATTTGTATTGTTTAAAGCCTCAACCTAGTTTAGCCAAAGATCCAAAATTATTACACAATGCTACGAATATTGGTAAGCTAGATATTGTCTGGAGAAGTAATTTAGGAGAAAGAGGACGTCTTCAAACCAGTCAATTACAAAGAATGGTAATGACTTGTAACAAACATTATTTTATCAATCATCCTGTCTTAAATAGATAAATAATAAATTGAAATATCATAGGCTCCAGATTATGGCGATCTTCGAATCACTGCTAGAGATTTAATAGCTAAAGCATTTCTTGAAGAGCCCTGTACCTTCAAACTTCAAATAATCAATACTTCGTAAGATTTCTTGAAAGATATACAATTGGTTTAAATTAATTTTCTTCTAAACAATATTCTATATTTTTAGAGAAAGACAAATGGATTTGTTATTAGGATTGCCAAATAACACATCAATAGCATGGAGTGGAATATCTGATAGAATGATTGGTACTCTCAAACCAGGTGAAATGGTGCAAATTCCATTGTGCTTGATTCCATTAGAATGTGGACTAGTAGTAAGTATTTTTCATTTATAAATCAGAAAACAAAATCAAGAAGTAATTTTAATTTACAAGTAACATATTTTTTTAAAGTCTGTTTCAGGTTTAAAATTAACAGACACTTTCCTTAAAAGAGTTTATGAATTGGATGATTTAGCTCAAATTTTTGTTAGTCGCTTAGAGTTTAATTAATTTTTATACTCATAGAAAAATAAAGATATTTACTTGTTTAATAAATGTTGTAAAAATTTATTGAGTAGTTTAATTACATGTAAGTTTCAAGACTTGCTGTTCTTTCAGTTTCACTAACAGCTCCAACTGCACATGCTAATAAAGATTGTACGTCTTGGGGTTCATTGCCACCAAAAATATAACCATTAGCTTTATCCACAGCATTTTTAACATTGAGTAGTAAAGTTTTATTTGAAATGTCAAGTGGTACAAAGGTTACGAGACTGTAGTCTTGTACTAGAGATATTAGTGCTTCATTCAACTTCACGTATCTGAAAATTTTTCGTTTCGATTAATAAAACGGTCACAATATTTCAAAAACTTAATTAAATTTTAATTATTGGAGTAGCAATTTTTCAAGTAAATAAAGGCAATTTCGGTCAAACAAAATGTTTGTAGTTAAATTTTGAGTCTGCTTTCAACTGATTTCTTATATTTGATTTTATAACTTACTGTGGGACAACATTATCTTCATTCAATCGCTCAAGTAGATAATCCAAATTCAACACGTCTGTATAAAAATCAATATTGAAATCTAGCTTGTCTTTAAAACGTTTCATATCATCGAGTTTTGTCATAACATTTACATGAGGTAATCCTAGTTGCAACATAGTTATCGTACAAACCATCAACGAAGAAAGATACTTTCCTGTAAATAATAATAAATATTTAATATCTATTAATACATAAATATTCATGCAATGAAAAGGTATTTTACCTGGATCACTACAATGATGTGAATCCATTAAATTAACACAGCAAAGTCTTACTAAATTTGTAGACAATTTCTCAGTAATTTTGTTCATAGATTCATGATGAGTATATAGTTCAACCTATCATAGTAATTTAAAGAATAAAATAATAATTCTAAATTCCAAGAAATAAATTGAAGTAATATTTGTTCATACCTGTCCTGGGCAATCAATCAAAACGTAGTGGTTTTTGAAATTAAGAACTTTTCTAATCAACCATTCAATATTTTTCTCTAAAAACTCAATACAATATACCAAAGCTCCGTTAGGTCCAAGTTTTAAAGTTTTCATAACTTCTTCATGTTTAACTAATTCAGAAACATCGACTGCTGGCTTATACCCCATATTTTCATTAGCTGGATCTTAACAAAAAAAAGCAAATACATGCATTAAAATGCAAAAAGTAGTTATTGATAAGCTAGAAATACCAACTCACCAATATTTATGATTGCCACTTTTCTACCCAAACTTTCAAGAAATTTTCCCATTTCAGTGCAGTATGTTGTTTTACCACTGCCAGGTGGGCCTATTACTAACTGACCAAATATGGTGCTCATTTTATGGGCTCTTGAGATCCAGCTTTTGAATAGTTTTGACAATAGTTCTCAAAGTTGAAACTTCATAGTCCTTTAGACAAATAGATATTAAAAATGGTTTGTCAGCATTTATTTGTTCTGTAATGTATCTAGCCGCTGCATGAATTTCAGGATCATCTTTTCCAAAAATCACTCTACAACAGTCGTATGATTTATAAAACAATGCCAGAAAGAATCAACATTCACATAACGAAAACCTCAACTTACTTTGTACTGTAAGTATTTTCGTTATCAAATTCACGAAGAGCAGCTTCTTTTCTCACCGTCACAAGAGATCCAAGCTTTTTGTACTGACTGACGACTAAAAATATACGATTGCTAAAAATCAACAAAAAAGGTGTGAAAATAATAAAATCTTTATAGGTTATGTCTGTGCTGCCACATTTATAAAATTCACAATTTCATTGGAAGTCAATTCCGCCATTGATTAATTGCAGTTGATTTTAAAAAACATAAGTAAAACGACGACTTACGCGTAAAAATTAAGAGCAATATCAGTATGATTGCCGTTAACAATGACACCGCAAGACTTGAGCATGCTTGCTGCCAGACCCTAATGGAGCTATTTACTTTTCTAATAAACGATCAGCTGTTTCATATTTCCCGTCGCTCTTTGCCCCGCGATTCATAACAAAAATGTCAATGACCTTGGCAGCGAAAACTCCCCCTACAACTTTCTCTTTCAATCGAGTAAAAGCGTGCGCTTGCTCTACCCCTTATATATATTAGCGTGAAAATTAAAAGTTAGCGGTACAGCCGTTATTAAAAAAATAGGAATCGTTAACATATGAGGGCGGGAATCTCATCAGATTTTCAAAAAAGCCTGCACGGCTTGGAGATTTGGTGAAAGCTCCGTCATTCGCGCCTGTGGGAAAGAGGACAGAGAGAGAGAGAGAGAGAGAGAGTATTGATCATGTGGGAAGGAAGATCTTAGAGAGAGGCGTCCTAAGGAAATTCGCGGACAACCAATGCGAGGCCTGGCCGCGGCAATTTCCGCACACAGCTCTCTCCTACAGTAGTTTGCTGCTGGGCTAGGGTGTGCGAAAATCGATAGCCGGTCTCTCCGTCTCCCTCTCTCTCTCTCTCTCTCTCTCTCTCTCTTGGCTTCTGTGCGTTCCCGCGCCCCCGCGCTCCCTCACCGCCGCCGCCACACGGTCGTATGATATTCGCGTAGCAGTGTCGAGCAGGAGACGCAAGCGAGTGGTGATTGGCGCTACAGCTATATATTCTCCCCATCGCGGCAGAGCAGCTTTTGGCCCCGTTGATTTTTCGCGCGCGCTTTATGCCCCCGTGTGCAAATTATTATTCGAGGCGCGATCGCGATTCGCGGCGGAAGTGCGCAGAGCAGAGGGCTCTCCTCGCGCGCTCTGGCAGTAGCCCACCCACACCTTCACCTCTACATCCACATACGTATGTGCCAATGTTTTTAATAGTCAGCAGCACGACCGCGAGTGTATGTGCGGAATAGTGTGCGCGGCCGAGAGCGAGAGTCCTTTGTCGTGTGTGCAGTGCTGCTGCTACTGTCAGCGATATAAACAAGCGCGCCATTGCAGCCGTGCACTTGCAAAATACATGAACAAAAGTCGTCAGTCTTTCCGATCGAGTTAGGTGCGCATTGCGCACTGGAAGCTCGCGAGGGAAACTCCGGCACTGACTGCAGTGTCTCGTGCAGTTTGGAGTGCATTGTGCGCGCGAAGTGCGCCTGCAGATATAGCTATAGCAAGTGTGCGTGCGGCATTAAGCCGATTATAATCGAGCGGTCGCGTCTAACTAATTAAAATTAACACCGGACAGTGCAAGTCGAAAAGAGCGCTTTTCCGCTATCGCTCTCTCTCTCTTTCTCTCTCTCTTTCTCTCTCTCTCACTCACTCTCGCTCTTTCTCTTTGCTTGCTTTGTCGAATTGTCGCTGTCCGGTGCCTGTGGCTCATTTGTGTGTTCGGCGCGTTACATGCGTATAGGTATATGCGGAGTTTGCGTGTGAGCGAGCTGTGGTAGGTGAAGAGTAGCCGGGAAAACTCGAGCGAACGGGCGGAGAGAGTGAGAGAAACGTCGGAGAGCAGCGCGTTGCCTGGAGAGGGGGACTTTTTTCGCGCGCCGCGGCGACAAAGGGCTCCTCGACCCTTGAGTGTAATACTGTCACGCACGCACACTCAGTAGCAGCGCTGAATTCGCAGCAGCACATCCTACAGCACGACAAAATGTCGTGCACCTACGCCGACGGGCTATCGCCGTACGAAGACAAAGGCGTCTTGGGCCTTGAGGAGGTGAGTTTTTTGTTATCGCCTAGTAAAATTTCGTTTCCTTCTTTTTAGCCAACCAAACGACGTCGCATTTGCGACTCTCAATTTGCTTTTAATTCTTTTTCGCACGCGCGCTAGCTGTAAGTGGGGGGGAGAGGTTTTGGTTTTTGGAGCGGCTGCGGATTGACCAAAGGCGATTGTTTGTGCTATCGGTTTTGCATTTCTCGCCGGGGAGCTTAAATTTAAAATTTTAATTGACAGTATGACCGTCATTACGGTATCGCGTTTTTTCCATTCAACAAGTGTCGCTCGTTTTGTTTGGGTGCATTTAATGTATAGGTATATATAGTTAGATAATCGATTCGGAGCTCTCGCTGCGCTGTCTGCATTATAATTGTTTACATTTCTTATCGATGCTCCAATGTTTTTGTATGAACTCTTTAGTGTCTATTTTTCGTTTGAACTATTAATTTAGCACTGATTAAATTATTGTAAAACTTTTATATATTTCAATTACATAAATTTGGATTTTTAATTCTATATTACTCTACTTGACATGAGTTCTACCTTTCTATTTTAGAAGTTTGACACTGATGAAACTCTGACACTGAAGTGTGAATTACTTGCTGACTGGATCAAGGGAGCTCGACATGTTGTTGTTCACACTGGAGCTGGAATAAGTACCTCTGCCGGGATTCCTGACTTTCGGTACAATTTGCTTTGATGAGTTATGCATCTTATATTAAATATGTATAGTTAATTGTTCTAAATTATAACTTTAAGTGGCCCAAATGGAGTATGGACTCTGGAAAAAGAAGGTTTAAAACCGGATAAAAGTATATCTTTTGATGACGCAATACCTACAAAGGCACACATGGCTTTAAAAAAACTCATTGATGAAAGTAAGCTATACATTAAGAGTCTGATTTTACTGAACAAACTAGAAATATAAAACTAATGTCATGTCAATTTTCAGAGAAAGTAAAGTTTATTGTGAGTCAAAATATTGATGGATTACATCTTAGATCAGGAGTTCCAAGGCAATATTTAGCAGAAATGCATGGTAATATGTTTACAGAACAGTGTGACAAGTGTGGGAGGTATGTTGTATATTTGTAATTGTATATTACTATGAGTAAAAGAAGAATTTAATCTAATGTTCAAATTTTCTATATTTAGACAATTTGTTCGTAATTTTGCTACCAAGAGTGTTGGTAAAAAGTGTCTAGAAACAGTGTGTAGATCTGAACAAATTGGAGGAAGACCATGCAGAGGGAAAATGCATGATACTATTTTGGACTGGGAACACAATTTACCTGATAATGATCTTGCTTTAGCTGACCTACATTCAAGGTATGATCAACATGATTGATCAAAAAACTATTTTTACTATAAATATACTATACTAAAGTTTATTACAATGTTACAGTGTTGCGGATTTAAGCATATGTTTGGGAACAACATTACAAATAATACCTAGTGGTAATTTACCTCTTTACACAAAAAAATATGGTGGTCGTTTAGTTATTTGCAACCTCCAGCCAACCAAACATGTGAGTGAAGACCTAGAACTTCTGCTTTTAAGACTAATTTAATATTCCACCTTTAATGATTTTTCATTTATTTTTATTTTATAGGACAAGAAAGCTGATCTGATAATAAATGGTAAACTTGATGATGTGATTGAAAGTGTAATGAAGAATATTGGTCTAGAAATTCCATCATATGACACATCTCTGGATCCAACTCGCAATACCGACATCAATTCCAAGGAAATGGATTGGACGATACCGACTAGTAGAATAAAGGAGATGAAGATATTGTACAAAAAAGTTTGTACCCCAGTCAAAAGAAAGCGCAGGGCTACGTTTATGTATGAACGTGAAGTTGTACCAAAGCAAAAAAAAACGAAGCAAGATTTAAAACAAGACCTGAAGCCAGATTTTGGCTTAAAACAAGAAAAATTTGAAGAGAGTTCTTCTTTTAGCAACTTCAACAACGAAGAGACCAACGCAACTAAACAAATAGTTCCGAAATTGGAGCCAATGAATAATGATTCAAATGAAGCAAGTGCATATTTAGATTTCCCAATCGACGACAGTAACATTACGTAGTAAACTATTGTAGAAAAAAGAAAAAAAGTTTATATATGACCATTACTTTATATTTCTCAAGCGCAACAAATTAGTTTATATGTATGTAACATGTCGTAATTATGCACACAAAAATTAAATATATAAAACGATATGAATGCTAACAATTATGAAAGAAAACGAAAATGTGTTGAATTTAAAATACGAAATTTTTTAAGTAAATGAGAACAATTAAATATTTGTCATTATATATTCTCTTTTGTTTCATATATTTTGTATATTCATAACATAAATTTTAGTTTTGATAAAAATTTTAAACTAAAATCTATTTTTGCTCATGTGCAAAGGGGCGATTTAACGTTTCCATAGAAACCACACTGTTGATCTTCATTTAGAAGTGACTATGATTTTATTAACACAACGTTTAAATGCTTTCAACAACTACTTTGTAGAAAATAACATAAGAATTATAATATAAGATTATGTCAGTAATAAATTCAAATTTTTGCTCCAATTTAACATATCCTATTATAAAGCATAAGACAAAAGTCGAATTAGGTAATGATGATACATCTGATTTAGCAAAATGGAATACTGAAACTCATGAAACCTTTGTCATACCTAAAGTTGAAGATAAACAAATTGGTAACTGTTTAAATTTTTTATTGCATATATAGTATATTCTGATGATTATTAAGAATATGATCGTGGTAGGAAAAAGAAGAGAATTGTTAATGAAATATTTAAAAATGCATGCTTCTAAAGATGCTTTAGAGGAAATCGTAGGTGATTCCCTTTTACCTGAATCATTAAGCTTCACTGAGTACATTGACAACTTTTGTGACAACGATTTCACTCCTTTCATGGAAAAATCCGATGCTTATCTTCAGGTAATTCATGGAATAGTTTCAAATAATTTGTAAATTTGACTTAACATTTACTAATTGTCAATAGATATTTATGAAAAGTCCTCTTCATAGCGGAGATGTACAAACATATTACAAAGAACAATTTGATAAAGGAAATTTAAAAGTTGACGTCGAAGTTCGAAATAGAAAGCGTCCTTTTGTCAGAAGATCGCTTTTTACGACACCTCCAGAAATAGCGTTTGAAGAACCAATAAATGGATTTTGAGTTGAAACGTTTTTCTCATTCAATTTATTTAGACTTCATCATCAAAAGAAGTATGATATACAGAAAAGTTATATACATATGCACATATAAACTTAAATATCGCACGAATTCTTTTAATTAAGAAAATTTAAGTTTGTTATTCATTCGTTTACCGTAGCTACGATACATAAATACTTATCCAAATTTTTCTGTAGTAAAAGTCAATTGTGTGTACAAATAAAAATTATAATTTTAATTATTTAAATTTGCCTTTTTGACAAATTTGTTACAGATTCCTCATACTCTCTTACAGTGCTATTCAAATCATTCAATTATTCTTCAATGCTTGATCAAATGTCAATAGAAAGTCTTTAAAAAAAAGACTTGATCAGTCATTAAATGAAAAGTGATAATGAAAATAAAGAGACGTATTAGTAATCACGCTCGTAGAGAAACAAACTGATGGAATACGTCTAATATATGTGAATCTACGTCGGGAGTAAAAAGTAGTGTTTCTAACGTAGAAGAATACTTCTGTACTTGCTCGTGATGCTGCAAATAAAAGTCGTATAATATAAATAACGTTTTTTAATTAAAAAAAGAGAGAAAAATTCAGATTTTATTCATGCCTACCGTAAGAAAAACTTGTTGAAGCCTTCCGATCGTCCACTTATACCAATGTGTATTATAATCAATACCATCTGTATCGCATTTTACCAAATGTTCGGAAAGTATCATTATAAATCGCTACATAAAAAATATGAATAAATCAGTCTTTTTAAATTTTGTATGAATTATTCTTTGAAATATATAAGCCTCAAAAATAACATACCTGGAAAATGATCAAGAATAGATTCTTTTGATCAGCTTGAGCTGCTTCTAATTTTTCTTCCATTCTTTCCACTACATCTTCAGATGGTCTTTCTCCTTTATCTTTATCTTCATCTTCTGAGGATGATCCTGATCTGCTTTCTGCACGTCTTAATTTCTCTCTTGCTTCTGTCAATTCCTTGGTCAACTTAATAACGTGTTTATTTTTCTTTCGGATTGTTAAGTGCAAAATTTCCCAAATGTAAAGCCTTTGAAATTATAACATTGTTTTAACATTCTTATTATCACTTTATAAAAATATTTTTTTGAAATGAGTTTAACTAACTTAGTAAATTCTGCAGTCATTTCCTTTGAGAAGATCCAATTAGCAATAGCGCTACATTCGATTATCCCAGTTTTTAAAAGTTTGTCTGTTAACACCACCATCATTTGATAATGATTTTTCCACAAAGCATACATATTCCTTAAAATACAGATTTGTGCTTCTTCAGTTTCAGCAAGAACCTAAGAGTAATAACAATATCGATATTATTCGTAATGAAATATGTTTGAATCACAAAATAAAGTAAAAAGCTATACTTTAAAGACATAGTGAAATTTTCCAATGGCTGCAAAACTGTGACTAAAACTTTTTGAGCCTAAATTTAGTAATGTCTGTACAAAAACATCAATCTTCAAAGGATTATATGAGTAATTTTCTTCATTTTCTCCTGGTCCTGGCAAAGTATTCAATATAGTCAACACCTCTTCTGGAGTACATTTACGTCTGATAGATACTACCAGTTCATGAGCCACAGCAGTACCGGGAAGTGAACCTAAAAAACCAAAAGTTATATATAAAAATTGATTAGTGATAAAGTAAAGTAATAATGAAAATATACTGGCGCCATCTGAAGAATATTTATAAATTGGTTCTGGTATAGCTGGTAACAGTTCGGCATATGATTCTGGCATCATATCACGAATTCGTTGATGGTATGATAACCTGAAACGTAAATTTATTTACGTTAAATTATTTATTTATTTAAGCATTTATTTTATTGATGAATTTTTTGTTTTAATTAAACATTTTCTAAGGCAAGCAGTTTCATTATAATTTTGATTACCTCAAGCATTTTAACAAAACTTCACGAATGAATTTTGGTCTTGGATGTTCAGCATCACGAAGTAAACAAGAATCCCAATCTTCCCAAGACCATCTAAACTGGAAATTGCTTAAGTGATAAGCAAACCACCAGACGAAACGATCAAATGCTGTAGTTGACATACTGTCAATACGTCTAAATAATATCTCTGTAGCTTGAGCTAATACCTGAGTGTACAAAATAAAAAAATCAGTTTTTTCATATCCACTGTATAAACTTTACCTTGGTGGATAGTTACCTGAGGCATGGTTGATGGTTGCAGCTTACAAAGCTCGATCAAAATTGATCCATAACATATTTCTAAGTGTTTTGGTGTTGGAAGTTTGAACAATTCACCAAACATAACTTCTACAATGCAATAATCTAAAGGAATTTTATTTTTATACGGGAAATTCAAAAGCTGTGCAGCACTGGAGCATAAAAATATTGAAAACATTAATATTGTCTGTTCTCTGAACTTTTGTGAATGAAGGATTTTTCAAATCTTACCAATCTTTTCTTTCTAAATAAACTGTATCAATAATTTGTCTTAGATGTTCTTCTATAAGGTGTCTTTCAATGGCATGGCTTCCGGGTAATAAAGGACCTTCAGCTGGGCAATCCGTATAGTCAAACATTCTAAAAACTACTGTTGGTAGAGGATAGACATAAGCATCATGATGAGGAGGTGGAATCAGTGCAGGCAAGTTGTGTTGAAGAGCTTCACATAATATCGAGTCAAATGCCAAGTATGGTCTTGGAATATGTTTTTCAGCCCAGTTATCTTGCCTCAATTTTCGTATTTGGGCCCAAAGACAATCTAAATATTCTTCTTGTGGATGTGGTGTATCACTTGACCAAACTCTGAGAGCAGGTTGATGTTTTTTATTTCTCTTATTTAGAAAAACTTCAATTGTAACCATAAGGTGATCAAGTTCTTGTTCTTTCTTTTCATAAAGTTCTCTTCCAACCCATGGTAATGTTGATAAAACAGCATAAACATACCAATCTCTTCTAACTTGAGGTACACTGTCCTCATTGGCTGTGTCAAGCATACTGTCAAACAACTGCATCAATGAACCACAAGATAATACATGGCAGTTGACCAAATCAGATAAAAATCTCAGTGAATATCGAGCTACATCCCATTTGCCTGATTTTAACGCATCTTTGAAATTTTTGACCATGTAGTCTACAAACTCTCCTCCAAAGTTGAAATTCTTTGCATTAAGTAAGCCAACAAGCGTAGTATAAATTGTGCATTTTTCTGGCATTTTAATAGCACAGTCAGTCAGAATTCTAAGAATCTTATTTCTAAATAATCCCAAGTCAGCTTCCAATACGGATGCTAAGCCCTCCAAGTTACTTTCCAAGGATGATGTAGATTTCTCTCCAACTCGAAGAATAAGAGATTCAAGACGATCTTCAATCTCTTGATTTTCTGAAACTCGCCTACGTTTCTTGTATACTCGATCTACAATCGAACAGTTCAAAAAAGATTTAATAGAAATCGAGAATAAAAAAAAATATCATTAAATAATTAAAGAAAGGTTTTTGTTAAACTAACCGTATCCATCGTCATCATCGTGAGCTCTTCTTCGACTCATTTTTAACAAGCACTAATGACTATAGTAACATGAACACAATTAGTTTCCTATTCAGAAGAAAACCGGTTACTTTTATTAATAACTACGTATTTAATTTTGCGTAAAATATCTTCGTAACCGTCTTTTGAAACGAAAAACTCTTGCAAGCGCGTCGTCGTGGCGTCAACTTTCATGAATTTTCACGCCGACAATTATGGAGTTGTCGACGAACCAATCGTAGACATTAATGAAGTCACGTGGTCCATTGGACGAGTAAAGTTGCGTAGTTGAAAATAACCCTTCACGGTCAGCTGTGATTTTGCAGACGAAAAATGGTGTATTTTCATTTCTAAATACTCGAAAAAATATTAATTAATTATTAAATTGCCGACAAAGTAACAGTACAATGGCTAGTACGGCCAAAACTGGGCCACAAGAAATGCCTCCTGCTGGAGGATATGGCTCGATCCAGTGGAAGCGCGTACCACTGAAAACCATTTTTACACGTAAGGAAATAAAAATTTTATAATTTTGTATTATATATTTAACAGTATTCTTTGATTTTAGCTAGCCTCACAATTGGTCTATACGTTTTGGCCACGACTTTAGGAACAATAGGATATTATTACTCTTACCAAAAAGTTAAGAGAGACGAAATTGAAATGAGAAGTGCTCGGAACGTCATCTTAGCATTGATGTTGGCTGAAAGAGATCGAGCGTAAGTACTTGTTTAACTATATATTTTTAATTTTATAAACAAAAGTATATAACTTCAATTATTATTTGTAGATTTTTGAAGCAATGTCGCATTAACAGAGATGAAGAAAGAGAACTCATGAAGGATGTTCCTGAATGGGAAGTTGGTACATATTTCAGAGAGCCAGTTTATATTACACAACCAAAGAAATTCCATGTACCAACCTATTGGGAATTTAATGCTCATGCTGACATGTTTGAGGCAACTTACCGTGTTTTACGTCGTCACTTCATGTAAACATTGTAGGGTAATAATATAATTGTATGCTTATGTAACATACATGCTCAAGTTTTAAGAAGTTGAGCAATGTTAATAAAATTGTTTAAAAATGAATAATAATTTTATTCCGTGAAAAGACAACATATGTTTAACAATTAATAGTCATATACTTGTAAATACAAACTTTAATCTATTTTAAAATCTCAACTTTTGGTGGTTCTTGATTTGTGGCTTCCATAGCTTGCTCAGTAACATTCATATTACCTATTCTATTTTGTACAATCACAGCTTGTACCTCCATAAAAATTTCCATGATTCTATGGTTGGTGAGAATAAATTTTTGAGCACAAGCCTCAACACATTTTTTCTAAAAAATAAATGTTTATTTGAAGTGTAAATTATACTGAGGGCAATGTAAAATATATTACCTCATCTGCTTCTACTGTTCTTGTGTTGAAAGAATTTGCACAACGATTAAAACAAATATCTGATATTTGGTTGTAAAGCTTAAGAAAATCTCTAAACTGTAAACATAAAGTTTGATTTGATAAACAAATGATGACATGCATAATTCAGTAAAATTAAAAAAAATTTTTACAATACTTACTTGATCCATTATATATACTTATAATTCTTATCAATTAAGTAAGTTACTCCAATCAAAAATATTTTTTATTACATTTACATTTAATTTATTATTATTTCATTTTTCACTTCAAACTGAAAACATGATTGTTAGCAATATTGTAGGTTAATGTGCATGCTATGAAATTTATACTTTACTTAGATTTTAAATAAAAACGTAAAAGTATTTCACTTTTGTACGTATGAATGTGCTAAAATGTTAGTTTAAAAATTTATAATAATTGTTTGAAGTTATTAATAAAAACAGGTAATTAACTATGCCAACGTAAGAATAGCCAATCATAAACAAGGAACGTTCTAATTTGTCCAACCACATTGTATTGGACGTTCTGTAGCATGTATGTAGTACTGAAAGAATCCATATTGGTCCGCTTCTCTTCATGGTTCTCTAGTCTTTTTGGTTAGATTCTTTTTTGATTTGGCTTTCAACATGGCTGAGGTACGGTTATATATAAAATTTTGTTAAATCAATGGAAATCTTATTCATCTTTAACTTGTTTTTATAAAATTATGCGAAATATTGTTGTTATTCGGGTGTAGAAGTGATTTATTAATATATGACGCATAACTTTCACTGTCATAACATTTCTAGCCAATTTTTTAAAGAATTAGGTTAAATTATTATTGCAATAATTATATTGATATTATTTATTACAGGTAGACGAAACTCTCAAGAAAAAGAGGACTTTCAGGAAGTTCACCTACAGAGGTGTCGACTTGGATCAACTTCTTGATATGCCTAAGTAAGTTTATATACAAGTATCTGCTTTGACTACTACTCAAATAATGTCAATTGTTAAAATGATTCAACTTTCTTTTAACATTTAAAAATCTTAAACGATAATTTTGGTGTTGGATTAACAATGTTATTAAAATTATTGCAAAGTACTTATGTAATTTATTTGAAGCTCAAAATTATTATAGTACATACATAAGTATAACTTGACACAATAACAGTAAAAAAAAATAATTCGGGACAAAATATAATGAAGTGTATGCTAAAATTAGATAGAATTTTACAAACAGACCTATCCATTTGATTGTTTCAAACTCAAATAAAAATTAAAAAAACTAAATTTTCAAATAGAATAAAGTTATTAGTGCGTATTCATGTTTATTTAGTGAAACTTTAGTTTTTGCATTTGCAGTTTTATATAAATATTTTTTACAAAGTAATTTTGAATGTTTTGAACAATTAAAAGGTGACTTATAGCCTTATAAGAATAATTTTTATCAACTTGATTTAAATATATTTACTTTAACGGTTCATATGAAATGAAATATTGTAGTCTTTGTATAGAAATCACATATTCATTTTAACTTTAATAATTGTAATCTAGTATTTACAAAATTAATATAAAACTTTCGCAATTTCAGTGAGCAACTTATGGAGTTAATGCATGCCAGAGCTAGGAGGCGTTTCTCTCATGGTCTAAAGCGCAAGCCAATGGCTCTTGTCAAGAAGCTACGCAAAGCCAAGAAAGAAGCTCCACCAAATGAGAAGCCTGAAATTGTCAAGACCCACTTAAGAAACATGATCATTGTTCCAGAAATGGTTGGATCCATTGTAGGAGTATACAATGGAAAGACTTTTAATCAGGTTGAAATCAAGCCAGAAATGATTGGTCATTACTTAGGAGAATTCTCTGTCACATACAAACCTGTGAAACACGGTAGACCAGGTATTGGTGCTACCCACTCTTCTCGTTTTATACCACTCAAGTAAATTGTTATAATAAACTTAATATAAAACACAAATATGGACTTGTTTTAATTATCTGAATAGATTTACCAAATTTTCAGTAAATATTTCATTTTTCTCCATACTAAATATACAAGTTTAAGATATTTTTAACAATTTAAATTTATAATTTATTTAATATATTAGTTGGTGATTTATATAATTTTATTATTACTTATATCCTCAACAAAAGTTTGATAATTGAAATATTGATATGGATAATATCGTTGACGATATATTTTCATTGCTTTAATTATAAAATACGATATTTTTTTCGATTATTATCATTTTAATAATATAAAATGCGTAATTTCATTATTTTTCTTGAATATAACATTAATAATAACAATATAAATAGGAAAAGACGACAGTGAACGTTTCAAATCTCAATTCTTACATGTACGTTTGTTACGAATTTATCTCTGAAAAGATGAGGCATGGAAGGGGAAAATCAACAGTAATCTGACAGTTCGCGAAAATATACTTATAAACTCTACGTAAAGAAACTGGGTTTCTGCAAATGTTTATCGAAAGTAATGTTGAAGTATCATCGCAGTCATGAAATGAATGTGAATCTCAAAAGATGTGCTCATCAAACAACAATGTTGCTACGGATTAGTACGACAATCGGTTTAATTATTAAATGTTTTCAGTTGATGTAGGTTAGCCTGGAATTACCAATTAATGTATAAAAACAGTGTTTGAATTTGTATGTACTTGGTAAACGGCATCGAGTTTGATGCGACCAAGCTGTTACCACCAAAGTTACGGAGTCGAGCGTATGAGCTTTGCATCCAGACTTTTAACTGATGCTGGTTCCAATGGCTGACGAAATAATTGTCTTTTCAAATGCATTAGTAAAAAATTAAGAATACGTGAAAGTGCCATATCAAACAATTGAGCAAAGGCAATTGCCTAAAGTAGTCGCGCGAGTTTGTTCGCGATCAGTCAGTTTAAAAAGCAAAAGTACAGCCCGATAACCTTGAACTTCATTGATCAGCTCTCGGTCTTGAGCCTTGCACTTGAAAAAGCGACACGTGCATCGTCAGCCTCTTTGTGGCCCCTCTCTCTCTCCTTCTCTGTGTCAATCGTGCTCTGCTCCTACACTCACGCTTTTATAAATAACGTTGGCTTTTCGCGCTTTTCGCCACTGATTTTCTTCATTTGCATCGCACTTATTTCGCGTTGGTGCGTCGATCGACTTGGTCGGATCTAGTTGCCGCTAATTGAGCTTCATCAGTGCCGTTCAAAACAGTTCGCTCAAAGTACATTGTGTAACATTTCGCCTCTCTGTGTGGAGCTTCTTTCGAGGTCGATTTTTGTTTCACATTAGTGGTGGACTTAATTTAACTAGAACAAGTACACGATACATTTCAGCTTTGAGACGACTAGACCTAACGCGCATAGAAAATGTTACGATTACTCGAGACTTTGAGTGGACTTGATTCTGCTGATACAAGAGTAATTGATAAATATTAATCATGTTGGATATGACAATATCGGATATAAAAGACATGGTTAAAGACGCGAAAGAGAAAGTTATTCTTCACTGGAACTACAGAAATTTGAAGGAAATCCCAGAGGCAGTGAGAAAAGCGGGACGAAACGTGGAGGAAATTTACTTGAAGTACAATCATTTGGAATGTCTTCCTTACTGGATATCAGACTTTTCGAGGGTCACAAATTTATATTTGCACGGCAATCACCTCAAGAGTTTACCTGCTACATTGTGTAATATGCTTCAGCTGACTATTCTGGATCTCAGTAATAACGAACTGAAAGACCTTCCTAACGACTTGGGACGTTTAGCCAATTTACGCTCTTTAGTTTTAAATAATAACTGCATTGAATCGCTACCTCCGTGTAAGTGTCACACCGACATTCAACTATTTTATTTAATAAGACTTTAACAAAATTTTTTATCGTTTTAGCTATGTGTCAACTGCAAAATTTAAAATGCCTACATTTATCGAAAAATCGTATTATTGCTCTTCCTGAATGGCTTGGTTCGTTGCTCCAACTCGAAGAAATATTTGTCGATTATAATTCTTTGATAGAGATTCCAAACAGATTGACGCTGTTGAAATCTCTGACAATGTTGTCCGTTTGTTCGAATAATTTAAGTTACCTGCCACTAAATGGATTTCTTTCATCACCTCACATTCGTTTTGATTCAAATGCTTCGTTAAGTTACTTATCGCTGCCTATATTTCACCACTTGGTATCGAAAATTCAACCGTACGAATTGGAAGAATCTACGGATGCATTGGCTTATGGGTGAATTATACTATTCAAAAGTAATTGTAAGGAAATTGAACATTAACAATTGATTTGCTTGTTGTCTTTTCAACAGCTGTTTTAAATACGAAGAGAGAACCAAATGTAAGAATAATATTAAATTGTTAATACGAGATAATAATTCTGGAACAAACGAAAGGATAGTGTTAGAATTGCCAAGACAATTAATCTGCGTCTATAGTCTTCAAGAGAATAAAGTTATTTCGTTATGGGAAATGTCTCTCAGAACAATATATTGTCACAGGTAATAAATTTCGTATTCTTGTGTGATGACATAGTATTTAAAATTAAAAAAAAACAAAATGTTAGGTATCGACATAAGCTTCGCATTATTCAAAATCCGTCAAAAGTGAGCGTTGAATATGAGCGAAATTTTACCAAGGCCACACTTAATGAGAGTGAATATTCAAACTCTTTTCTACCCTACAAATTAATAATGAATGGCCCAACTAGCATATGCTTAAATAACGATTGCAATCTACCTATTTTCACTCACGCTTGGATTATTATTGGAATTAGGAAAATTGATTTTATCATTCCTGTGATCGTGGTTTTTTGCAGTCATAGGTAATGTATTTGCAAAAAATTATCAATAAGTGATTAAGCTGTTGATAATTATTCCCGAATTTTTATTTAGATGTGCCGCAGAGTTTGTCAAATCATCAAGCTTTACGGAAATTTATGAGATTTGCTCTTTTCACAAGATCAACTAGAATGTAAATATTTTTAACATGGAATATACATTTTTTTAATAAAAAGACGTATTTTATGAATCCAATTTGTTTTAATTAAGAGTAATCAAATCGTAGTTATTTACATGAGTGACTCATTATTTATAAATGCAACATTTTTAAGCGATTTAATTTAATATACAGTTGTTTTGCAGTTGAATAGTGTCATTGACTTTTGACTCATAAAAATAAATTTTAATACTTCACAAACGTACAAAAAATTATTTGAAAAGTAGTTTACAAGTATAAAAGTGATTTTGCAATCTTGCAACTAATTGATAAATAGTTGTGTGACAACATTTTTAATAAAATTTGATTAGTATCGAGCGATCACGGCTCGATAAACACGTATTTACAGTTTATTGCAACAGCACAGAATTAAGCGATTAAAAAATCTAAAGCACTGTCTCTATCAATATTACACTTCAACAATGCCATTGATGCTCTGTCTTCAGGAAATCCTAAATCTCTAAGATAACATAAACTTTTGTAATATGCTTTGGCTTTTTGCTGATCGTTCTGGAATAATGCTAAAGTTTTTACAGCATCATCTTCAGGCATTCCATTGTCTTCGAGAGACTGTATAGCTAACAAATATTCTATAATTTTCTTATTATCTTGTCCTTTTAAATCACAAAGAGCACGAGCAACTCTATACAAAGGAAAACCCATGTCACTCAAACGTTTAGCCATATTTTGTTCTTCAGGTGACAAATCAGCTAAAGTCCTTGCCAACTCTTTTTGACCAACAGAAGAACTTTGCTTCGAGGTTTTTGGAGTTTCTTCTACTAGAGGACATTCCAGATCCGGCCAAGGTTGTCGGTTCTATCACAACAAACGTTACAGTTTATCCAATATTTTCAAATCTAATTTAAATTAATCACGTTAACATTAAGAAATACCTCAGCATTAGGTCGATCCAACTCCCTTTGCAGTTCCTGAATTATTAAAAACACGGCATCTGTGCGTTTATTACTAGTAGATTCATTCATTCTGTCTGAGTCTCTTGCAATTTGGTTTCCATCTTTTGTTTCATCTACATTTTTACTCATGGACATGTTGTTCATCATATCCTCAAGATTTGTAGCAGTAGGCCACTGAGGCACAGTATGTGAAACTCCTACTGTTGTGGGCTGTAATACCTGTATAAATTGATGATCTCAGTTATTGTTAAGTAATATTTGTAAAATTTAAAGTAACAAATAAAATTAGTACCTGAGCTAATTCTTCAGTATTATTCATAGCTTTCAATAACATATTGTCAAAAGGACTACTTGTGTCATTATCAAAAGCATTAACAAGTGAATAATCAAGTGCAGAGTAATCAACTCCATTAATTCCTGTATGATTTGGAAATTCATTCGTTGGTGAAGTGTAAAGTTGTGGCAATGATGCAGTAATTTCAGAAGTAGTTGGATTCAGGGTTAAAGGAGATGAATCAGGATTTGGAGAAGATGGTAAAGAAACTTTTTCAGCTTCTTCTTCAGCTTCCTTTTTACGTTTCTTTTCCAATCGAGCTTTTCTAGCCTCTATATAAGATGATCTAGCCTTGCGCCATTCTTTCATCTGAAGAATAATTATTATATCTATTAGTACATAATTAGATAAGAAGTAAAATCAGTTTTTATATAATAAAACCCCAAAATTATATGATTTAATGTATCATTTTAAGAACTAATATTATTGTATAACAAAATTATCACTATCAATATGATTGAATAACTTCAAAAAAAATTCAATATATTTTGAATATAACTAATGTAATCTTAATCCATAATTATACAAATATTTTTTACAAACTCTATCTAATTACAGATGAAGATTAAAGAAAACTCAGTATTTTTCCAACTATGTATCTTATTAGGACACATATATGAATTGTGTAATTTATTTGATTAATTCAACCAAAATGGCTTGAGGATAATGACTTATTTTATAGTAAAATGACTAGACGAAAAAATCAAATAAAATTTACCTTGTCGAGTACGCTTTTTTCCAAACTCAAATCATACGTGTATTTTGAAACATCAGGTAATTTGTTGTAATATGCCGCTGGAACAACAATTTTTTTGGGTGGTTTGTAGGCCTCTGCGATTTTTACCTGAACTCCATCCATGTAAGCAGCGACTGAATCGCACTGCGAACTCGCCGACGTTCGTGACATGATTCTTAAATTGAAATAATACACAAGTATTAGATATTAAATAGGATCATCTAAACTTGCAATTTAATTAATACCATTATTATGATTCATTTTCGCGAAAACTCAAAGAACACTAACCTTGCAGTTGTTCGTCACGTAACCTTCTCGCTTCTTTCTGATACCTTTCATCCGTGTTAAACAATTCGTTTTCAATTTTTAGACAAAGAGTATAATTTATAGCAAAACCAAAATCCTACGAAACCATTGCTTTGGATCCATTGTGCACTGATAATCGGACAATCGTCAATTGCCTGACATTTGACAGATCATCATCAACTAGACGTGGCCATCTTTGAGTGTGAACTAGCGGAGGTCAGAGAAGCATTCTCGTTCTGCGCAGCACGTGACACAGAAGACGTCGCGGAGTGATTTTTGGGGACAATGAATATAAATATAATACAATAAAAAAGTAAATGGAATAATTTGAGGTAAATATATTATTTCCAAGGCTTCGACTATGAACGTATTTATTTCATTATGTAGTTTTTTTATCCTTTCCAATGTGTATTCAAAACTTTAAGTATTCAAAGCAATTCAAAGCAATCCGCGTCATTTAAATTAATATTGCTATAGAAATTACCAATTTTTAAAAATATTTTTATTTCTAATAAACAATTGGGATCAAGTTTTACTTGAACATATAAGTTGACTTTCAATAGGAACTATTCTAACATGCATAAAAATCTGGAGATTAAAACACAATTTCAAGTGAATTTATAAAACCATTTTTTATTCTTGATTTTTTTTTTATATTGAAGGATTATAAATAATCATTATGGCACTTTCTCACCAGTTTCTTAAATTTTAATCACATCAATATAATTCATTAATATTGTCACACCATATAATTAAAATAACAAGGTAGTTAAAATACTTCTAATTTTTTCATAAATTCATCAAAGTAATAATAAACTTACTATCTATGTATTTATCTCAACAAATAACATTTATTTATACAGAGTGTAAAAATATACTCTGTTTGAATACTTTCAAACTTCATCTTAGTATTCAAGATGAAGTCACAACATTTTTTCTAGTCTTTGAACAAAAATTGACAATAAAAACTTTGAGGGATAGCCACTTGTACTGAAGTAGTAAGGCTTGTAACATATGTAACAAAATATAAATAAAATTGAATAACTAAAATAAACATTTTGTACACATAAATTAAGCTAGAGAAAATTTTGTGCATAACAATGCAACATTATCGTAGAGCAGATGTAAAGTTTTCATCTTCTACGATTGTTCGTTCTTTTCCTGACTTGTATGCCAAAATTTGTTCCTTTATACTAGCTTCATCCGAGGTAAGGGCCATCCGCCTACCCTCTAAAGACTTCATATAGGCAAGGAAGGAAGTCCACATAAGACTGCATATACTAACGTAAACTACTCTATTCCTCTCTGGTATGAAAAGAAAATTGACTGTTTGAAGAATAGGCCAGACACATATTGCCACCTATTATTTAATCAAGTGTTCATTTATTTCTGTAAGAAAAATTCATAATAATACTGTCATATTGTATACTCACTCTGTAGGTTGGCCAGAATTTTTCTTTGACTTCATTTATACAATGAGATATAGGTTTAAATTCCAAGAGGTTGATTCCAAAGAAGAAACAGCACATTGCAGCTGGTCCATAGGAAACTTGTTCAACAAGAGCCTATATGATTTCAAAGAAGAAGTTTAGATTACTCAGAAGCTTGACTCAAAAAAGAAATGTAAGTTACAATGAAATAGAAACTTAGCTGAATTAACTAAATAATCGTTTGGATCAAATAAATAACTGCACCTTAGTAAGAGCTGATCTAAGATCAGCTCTGGGCCAGAAGTGTGATGCACATTTCAACCAGCAATACAATGTTGGAGCAACAAAGAAGCCGCCATATATACTAAACCTCATGGCCTGCATGTAGTCCAGGTGTTCTTTACCAATAATCTTCTGTTGCATTAAGCTTGCCACTGGCCAGATAACCGTGTAGGAAGCCATCCCCCGGACGATAGGATATTTTTTGGTGACTTCTCGAAATTTGACCAATATTACCCTCATCCTGACACTTGTCGATCTACATATACGCGAGTGGAAAAAGACGCAATCATTATATGCACAGCGCGATGTGGAGCACGTGTGACGCGACACGGCAACGAAAAGACAGTTAAGAGCTCAACGTGCGTGGATAGCAGACGAAAATTTAAAAAGCACGAATCAGAGCGATAGAACGCACCTCTCAGCTGCACGCATGAGAATGTGTATGTGAATTGTCCATGAGTACACGTGTTTAAACAGCACACGCACTCACACGAGCAGAAAAATACACTGACAGCAGCTGACGACTTTGCTGGTTCACTCACCTGCAGCTCAGCCAAAGATTCGACCACAAGCTCGTTCGTCGGTCCAGCCTGCAAACGAGCAAACAAATTGCAGCATGACGTAATGAGCGCACAGAGCAAACGTCATTGACATTGAGGCGTTTAGAAAAAGGAAAATCGATTTGTTATCCGTTCCGTTGGGGATCGATCAGTGAGTACACTGAATTGATTAACACTGGTACCTCGTTCGTTACGGCCGTAGTGCTTGCGTCGAGGAGCGCTCCCGGAGATGTGGGCTCGAGCTGCAGCAGCGCAGCGGACGTTCTCGCATAGCCGTCGTTCTCGCGAGTATACATACACCAGCAGCGTCACGCTAAAGTGCGAGCGCGCTCGACTATCTCTCGCGCGCGATGACGAAACACGCGGAGCGCGCGCTGCTGCTGGCTGTATCGTTCAGCCCCTCCCGCCAGCGCTCGAAGTCCATTCTTATCTGGCCTTGCTCGATCACCCAACGTTTACACGTCCGCCTATAGTCTACACCACGCACACCTGTAACTATACTGCGCGCCCCGGGATTAGGCAATTTTTGGCATTCTTTCATCGATCTTCCGTTGACCGTTCTTTTCTTTGCTTGTCGGCTCGCGCCAACTTTTACCATTGCCGATTATCTGCCGTGGCTTTTCAGCGTTTTATGCGCGCATCGTTTCAACGCACCTTTACTTTCATATGGCGCACGATAGGTGCGCGAGGAGCTCGTGCTCGACGCGCTCGTGCATTTCCAATGAGTAAGCGCATTATTTCCGGTGCAGCCTCACGACTGCTTATTTGTATTTTTTTTTATCGCAGAGATGTTTGTGGATGTGGAATCGCACGGAGCCAAATGCACGGTTATATGCAAACCATTGTTTTGTTGTTATGTTGCGATAATGCGCTGTAACTATTATTTCATTGCTTTTCGGAGCGATGTAATTCACCGCTGCACTTTTTTTCATTCATAATGGGTACTTGCTATTTGAGAATTCGACTGGTCACGTTTTATCTGCTATTCTATACAATTAAAAAATTACAAAATACAGTTCAGACCAACTCGTTTATAAATTATCAAGAGGCTTTCTAATCACTTGATTTTTCGACTAAATTAGACTATATGATTTTCTGTCTGGGTTACTTTGATTTTCGTAGTTCAAAATAGTTCGAAAATATTTAATAAAGCTTATTTCATAGTTTGAATTTGCACAAACAATTTTGAAAAATATTGTAGTTGAATATATGCCAATATTTGACCAGCAACATAGCGGAGTCGTTTTATTTTTTCAACGTAGGTAAATTCTCGCTGTGCCTAAGTAATTTGTAATGTTATCAAATTATTTTGATAATAAAAAATGTTACAATGAGAAAATATATTTGTTTGTTGATAACAAACACAAAATTATCGAATGTTATAAATTCATAGTTCTTCGACCAAAGGCAAAATTAAGACAATAGTATAGATTTGATTAGTGAGAATTCCCTAAACTCATAGCTTATGTATCATTGGATAATCATCATCACATCTAAATATGCGAAATAATTTCTATATATGATATAGTTTGGAAGATACAGCTAATGATATCGGTATTTGACTTAATTACATCAGTATTTGTACATAATTAGAGAAATAGATAGAGAAATAGAAAGTCTTTTTTAAATTCGAATATAAATACTTATCTCGTATTTTCTGAAATTTAGAAAAAATTAAAAAACAATGGATTTTGTTTATTCTATATTACATTGATTATTTTGATAATTGTTATTTCAACAAAAATATATTACTTATATGAAATTACGTGTAAATTCAATAATACTTGCAAGAAAAATATTCACAAGTACTTACAACAATATTCACTAATTTCATTATATTTTGGATTTCATGCAGTGTCATTTATTTTTTTCCAATAAATAGATTACTTTTAATTATTTCAGAAAATATTAATACTCTAAAAATGTAATTCAATGTGTATGCAATACTAAATAAAAAATTTGACGGCATAATACAAAATTTTGCGAACTCATGTTTTTCATTTTAATAATAGAACGACTGCTAACATTTACTATATTTACAAGTTTAAATTAAAACGTTAAATAGTAAATACTGCACCGTTGTAATAAAAACGCGAGCTTGGAGACATACCGTCACAATGTCGAGTCCAAACGTTGAACTTGATCACTGATTCAGATAGAAAAAAGATTTCTTGAAAATGAAATCTCGAGGATCATCTTCTTATACATTATCAACTGTATCCACAATCATTAATTAAAATTATATACACCAGCCTTGGTAACAAGACTTAAATTAATCACAAACTCAACTGACACAGGCCTGATGAATATGTCGATTGAATAAAAAAAATTATAAAATAGCATGACCTCATTTAGTCACAATGTCAAAAAGATCGCAAAGTCCTTCACTATCACTCAAATTAAACTGGTAATCTTTTTCTTCAGGTGGAGGACTTAGCCTTACTAGTGGACCACAAACTGTAATATGAAGAACATTTTCAATATATTTACAATTAACTAATACCAAATATTTATTTAAAAATGAACTTACTTCCTGAATAAATTTCATCAATGAAATCTAAATTTCGGAATGTATAACCTGCAGAGAAAACCTATTATTATCATATACTTTATTTAATTACTAAACAATCATTACTTTACAAACCTGACGTGTCAACGTCTTTGAGAACTATCCTAGCTTCCAGCAAATCTTGATCTTCTTCCTCTTCATCTTCTGATACCACAGGTTCAACTTTTGGAGCATTTTTAGGAGGCCTGTAAATACCAATATCTTACTAAATATTGTTTCTACGTTATTCAATGATTAAAATAATTTCATGTATAGTGTTTGATTTATTCCAAATTAGCAAAACTTTGTTTTACGTTAGCCAATCCCCAAATGCAATCAATTTTTTTCTTTGCTCTATGCAGAATGAAAACATTATCTTTTTGTTTTCAAAGCGATTAGAGCATTCTATAGATCTAATAAAATTTCAAACTATCACCTTCCAACTCTCTTCTTTGGTTTAACTTCTTCTTTCTTTTCTTCTTTTTTCTCTGCTTTCTTATCTTTTTTTTCTATCTCTTTCTGTTCTTTCTCTTCATTTTCTTCTTTGATTATATTTACTTCTGGTTGTAACCTTAATTTTATACAATTATTATCATACGATTCAGCCAGTTCTGACTGAATAATATATACAGAAATTTCTCCAGTAGTACTCTTCAAATGCATCTCATAATTAATTTCACTTTCATCATCTTCTGACATCTGTAAAAAAAAATATTATCGTTAAAATAGAATACTGTATAGAAATTTAATAATATTTGTATTGTATAATTATGAGAACCTTTTCAATTTTTGGAACATTTAACTGTGTATCAGGTGGAGCTTGAATTGCTAATATGAATTCATCTTTAAATATCTCTTTAATATCTTCATAAGTGACATAAGCATATCTCCTATTGTTAGAATCACATTCGACATTTTTCAAACTCTGTTTGATCCATTGTATGTGTGTATCAATTGATTGTTCATGCTCTTCTAATTGCTTTATTTCTTCTTTTAGATCTGTCAGTTTATCTCCAACTTCTTGCGAGTTACATCCTGGCCCTGCTCCTCTGTAAATAAATGTTGTCTATGAATTCTGAATCAAACTAAAATATAAAAATCATATAGTGTTTCAACTCACTTCCACTGTATACTATTTTTACTCTTCTTCTCAATAAGCCCAATGCCTTCGAGGACGTTTGTAATATCATATATTCTCCTCTTCTGTCGTACTTCTAATAAATCAGCTGCCTGCAATAACCAAAGAGAATTTTGTCAACAATAAAGTGTTGTTAGAATAACGAATTAAAATAGTTACAAAATTTGGAGCACACTAATGAAATATAAGTTATTGACCCAATGAAGGTTATGTAAGTGTATATGTTGTCAAAGTATAACAAAATCAAGGCCTCTAGTTGAAAACCCAAACATTCAATGTGGTAAACATAACCCAAAAGCCAGTAGCCTCTGAGGTGAGGTTCACCACTGAGAGTATTTGCCCAGGATGCAAACGGTCTGTTTGGGTCTGTTTTTTCAAAATTCCCGCAAGCAATGGCGTGTGATAAACAGCAACTTAACCTAATAGCGGTGCATCCAAACGAGTACCGCGAAGGGTCCGATGGCTTACCACTTTCAAATCGAGCACGCCGTCCTTAGCCTTCTGCAAGAGGCTGACGAAGCGTGTAGTTAGCAGACCGAGAGACTTCTCGTACCTACTCTGTTGGTTGTCCACCATTATCAGTTCTAGCACTTCCTCGTCGATAATTTTTCACCTCAAAACGGGCCAACTCTATCTCTCGAGTTGAGTGGCCAAGACCCAGCCGCCTCCTTCGAAATTGCCGCACACCGACACCGCTTGCTGACTAACGCCAGCCCGCGAAAACCACGTGGCGCCGCCCTGGCGAGTGTTTTTCCTTTGCTATGACCGTCCGAACAAATTACTCGAGTAGTGATTGTTTACGCCCATTGTTTGACTTTCGACATCCGTTTCGGGGTTTAGAGTACGGTATGATTTTTTGGCAGTCACGGTTCATGACAATTGGAGCAGATAAAGATTTACATAACGATTATCTACGATAACAAAAAGATATTTCTTTGAATCATTTACCGTTTGTGACCGTCATATAATACAATTGTTGCCTTTATTCCTTCAAATTTATTAATGTTATGTTTATAAAATTTAAAGTCACTTATTTAAGACTACTCCCATCGAAATATTATTTTGTTTAAAAATTATTTTTAGTAGTTGATTAATTACTTTTGTATAAGATAATCCAAAGTACATATGCACAAGACATGACCTACCAAGAACACAAATCAATAACGTCGGAGAATTTTGAAAAAGTACGATACGTTCGCACACGAATATTGATTGGGTCTTTCGATTATATAAGTGGAAATCTAACATTACTTTCTATAAATTATTATATATTTTATTTACAAATATGTTTTAGACATTAATTTACAATAACTGTTATACACGAAAATGTAATATAAATAAAAATTTTCCAATATATATTTTGCACTTATAAAAAAAAAATGTCAAGGAAAATTAAATTCGTTAGTTGACGTTGATGGTTCAGGGCTAGGCGTTGAACTAGCTGAACTCAGAGTTTCTTCTTGAATTTTAAGTTCTGACTGGTCTTTATCCTTACTTTTATCTTTATCTTTATCTTTATCTTTTTCCTTTTCTTTGTCTTTATCCTTTTCTTTATCCTTACTCTTTTCTTTATCTTTTTTCTCTTTGTCCTTTCCATGTTTGTGGTCATGTTTATGTTTGTGTTTATGTTTATGCTTCTTCTTTTCTTTCTTTTTCTTTTTAGGCTGAAAATATATTATTTACGTAAGATTAAATTTGACATATTTATGAGTTTTTTCAAAATTTGTTACCTTATTAACAGCATCTCCTTTGACTTTGCCTTCTTCACCCTCTTTTTTGAACATCCCTGGTTCAAAACCAACAGGACCATTAGTTCCCATTATTCCAGGAAGGGAGGCCGAATTATCACTGTAATACTCTGATTTCGCTTTACCTTCTGTGTTATTACTTGTACTCTGATCATCCTATTTAACAAGCAATGTATTAAATTTATTTGATTTTGACTTCTTAATATTTAAAATAGCAAATAAAAACTTACCGAATGTATTTTTTGTCGTTTTGTGTCAAGGCTATATTCAGGAGCTACTGTTGAATTTGAAACTTCCCGTGCAGGAGAAGCTTTTCTTTTATTTGTAACAGTATTGTTAACTTCCACTTCATTGCTTGGCTCAGGTTTCACATGAGGTATGGGCGGTAGATGCTAAAAAATCAATTCATATTGTTAGAAGTAAAATCATGATTTTTGAATACTTTTATAGAATTTTTCAAAGTGAAAAAATTTGAATAAGCAAAATACTTACGCTTACATCTTTTTCTGGGCTGACAGCGGGTGCAACTCGTTTTGGTTTCGTTAACATTGCTAATTCTGGTATGGGAAGACACAAAGGCGTCTTTGAACCATACAAAGTGTAATACAAATCCACTAAGTCACAACGCAATTTCGGATCGTGAGACAACATTCCACTAAAAATTTAAACCGTTAATTTGTTAGTTCAATATCACGAGATATTTATATTAAAGTTTAACAAACATACTTGATTAAATTCCAAATACGATTAACTAATTCTGGCCTATCCAATGAATGCTTGTGAGCTCGCTCGAAAGGAGGGGTTTCGACCATGAGCCGTACCAATTTGTGTCGTATACATGGGTGAGGATCATTTTCAGCCATATCTAATAAAAATTCTAAATCATCCCATTTGCCGTCAACTTTCGTAAACTCTACTAAAGCCGTAAGAGCAGCTATTCTTACATCTGCAAACATTGTGAAAAAAGCCAAAGACACGTTTAAAACTAGACAAAAATAAAAACAAAATAATTCAAGTAAGTAGTACCAATGAATTGTCCGTAGGCGGCATATTCTCTGAATAAATGCGGATTACTAGGCAGATGTCCAAACTTTTGTAAAATTCTAATAACTTTTAAACAAGCGACTGAAACTGTGTACTTGTAACATGGAAGCAACTTTTCTAAATTTAAATGCCTCGTAACTTCTTCTAAAATTAATTTAGTTTCGGGCAACAAGGATTCGGCAGTTATAGTAGTTCTAAAAAAGTTTTAATTAATTTGATTCTTACAATTTTATGAATCTCAGAATATGTTTAAAAAGTACACAAATTATAATCTCACCCATGTTGAACGTTAATGACTGGAGTTATAGTAGCACCAAGTGCTTCGATTAGGGATGCTCTATAGTAATTGTCGGAGTATCTATTTTTACTATTATCATTGTATTTAAATAGGTCCATAAGAAATGATAGCACTTCTGGAGGACAAATTCCATGATTGTTTCTCAAGCCTGCCATAGCTACAGGAATAGTCTAAAAGAAGACGTTGAAATTAACACTATATTTTGAGAAAATCGGATTGTGCATTTAAAATTACCTTCTGAAGAAAATAATGTTGAAAATTTGTAAAATTATTCTGCTTTATAATTCTTCTACAAGAAGCAGAGCCAAATAATTTTCTAAATATCGCTAACATAGCAGGTGGACCAGCCCACGTAGCTACCATTGCATTTGCAACCTAATAAAATCGAAACAATAACGTAAAAACTGTAGACATTTTTAAAAAAACTTTAAAATTGTAATATTTTTACCTTTGTTAAACAATGTGCAGCTTGCAGTCTTACTTTGTAATAGCAATGCTCATTTTCAATCGTGTCAGTAAGCGCTAATCTCGTTGCAGGCGTTGCATGATTATTCAGAGCTTCGATAGCTTCTATCTGTGCTGTAACATCTCTTTCATGTCGTAATTGGTATTGCCATTGATAATCTGGCTGTTCAATTTGGACAGCTCGCATTAGTGTCATTTCAGGATCCAAACGAATCCACAATACAGGAGAATCGCTATAATTAATATAATAAAAATTGTAATTTATTGTGGCATGTTGGACTCAACTTAAAAATTGATTACATACTCCATTGCTGAAAGGTCCATGTCTACTTCTTCGCCAGTGCATAGTGGAATTTTCTTTTTCTTATTCCTTCTACTTTTACTGTGACATGTTATATCTGCTTTAGCAACTGTACCTTCAATCTGTAATGTATGTTTGAATGTGCCATCAAGTTCTTGAATATTAACCAAAAGAGGACCAACATACTTTCTTATTCCTTTATGATGAGTTATATCTTGACGTATTTCCAACTCAACTGTATTTCTATTTAAAAAAAAACATTTACTATTAATAAAGTTTTATAGTATGAAATTTATAGAACAACTGTTATTAAGAACCTTTTTCTGTTGAATACGAAGCTCAAATTAAACTTAGCATGACCTCCTGTTCTTACCCACTGATCAATAAATACTGCCATATCTTTACCAGTTACTGTAAAGATAGCTTTTGTAAAAACATTTGTACTAATCAACATGTGGGACCACAATCCAGATTCGATCCTTTGTTGTGCAGCATTCACAGCTAATGATAGTTGTTTATTGAATACCTTGAAAAAAATTTACCTTGATATAGTAATTTATTTAAATTTTAGAACTGGTTACTGTAAAAACATACCTGTAATAGAAGTTCTTGACCTATTCTGTGTTCCAACATACGAATCACTAAATGAGCCTTTTTTCTAAGAACTTCAATATATTTTGGAGACATAGTGTGCAAATTTCTTATCGGAAAATAAAATCCAGGATCTGGATCTCTTGGTGTAGGAGCTGGAGCATTTGCTACAATTGGTAATGGAGCAGGGGGTTGTGATGGATCAATTATTATACCACCAAACTGTTCCTCATATTTAACTACTTCTTTCAATTCCTATAAAAAATTCAAATAAGTAATATAATAAAGTTACCATGCATTTATTAAAAATTGAATACCGATTGGATCCATTGGCGATATTCATTATTTCCAAAACATTTTTTTGCATATAAACCAGTGAGGTATGTAGAAATTCCTTTCGGTAGCCATGTGTCAGACCAATTTTGCATTGAAATAAAACAGCCAAAAAATTGTTCTGCTATAGCTTGGGCCATTGCCTTTTTTGTAATGTATACTTGATCAATAATAGCAGAAGAATGCAACAAATTGGTACTGAAAAAATATATATATATTAGTAGTAACTTTGAAAATCGAATCAAATTTTAGAAACTATATTAACATACTTTAAGATACTCATTGTTGCATATGCATTTATATCTTCATCAATTTCATCAACAAACACTTGTTTATAACAAGAATAAGGATATCTGTTTGACAAAGTTTCCTCAAAGAATTCAAATGCCTCATGCATGTACTTAGCTGAATTCTTTAATATTGGCAATAGTTGAGGCAGACAAAAATGAGTTACTTCATGCATGTAAGGATCAACAAAAATTTCAAAGGGTCTAAAACATAAAACATAGTATTGAAATTTGTTATTGTTAAATTTCCATTTAATAAATTTTCTCGTGCATAATTACCCAACAGCAAGAGCTATATTTGGTGCACAAGCTGGAATATTCAGTACATAGTGAAAAGTCTTCTTTCGCATATCTGGAGTATATACAACTTCTACTAAATCACCACAAGATACTGCAGTCATAGCATCATCAACTGTAAATTCTAGTTTCCAGGTACAAGGTTCCGCAAAACTATCAACACACGGGAACCATAATCTTGATGAATTTTCATAACTATAAGTGTACATATGAGCACCTTTCTAAATAACATAAAAACAAAAGTTAAAATTTATAAATATAAAATCATTAGAAGTTTTTGAAATGATGTGATTTTACCTCAGCTAAGGTGCCTGGACAATTAGGTAGAACAAAGTGAACTCCTCCTTGAGGCTGTTCAAGTGAGAATTCAATACCTATGCGAATAGGTTTGCCTTCTTCCACTAAATGAGCCACATCTGGAGTTATTTGTATAACTAATTCTCCAGCATTGTTATCTGGATCAACTTTCTGAGCTGCTGCCAAGTGAAGATTAGAAAAAAATTCCAAAGATCGTCTAAAACAGGATCAAAATATTTGTGTAAAGAATAATTCCATTATGAATATTCAAAATGTAAATACTTACTGCTTTTCATCTCCTTGTGAAATATCTAGAAAAGGATCAAAATATTGAAATTGTGCCTCATAAGAGTCATTTAAACATACTTTGTAAATTCTACACTGCTTGGCATTCAAATGTATTAATCGTAAAGTATCCCTCAATGGAATGATTGTTAATTCTACCATCCCCTTAAAATCAGATTAGTACAAAAAAGTATAGAATTAATTATTTACGTAAATTGTAATTGTACTTTCACAAAATAATTACACTTACAATGATACTTTTCCGTTGAAAACTTATACCTGTAAGGCTAACAATTTGATGGGCTGTAAAGAACAAAAATAAGTATATAAATATAACTGATGTTCTCTGAAGTTTGAAAGAATAATGAAAGTAATCGGTAATTAATAATTTATGTCATCTTGTTTGAACAAAATATTGTAAACATAAACATAACCTTTAATTTCGTTATGCATAAACAATAACAACAGAAATATTCTGAATTGAGTGAATTAGAAAAAATACTTATAATTTAAATGGCCGAGCATTGTCTGCTGTCCGTTCTTTTTTCATGGTTTCATCAGTGGAAAATAACTTATAAAATTAAATTATTCGACAAATATAAATGCAGTTCAGTACTTCGTAACGCGAATAATGTGAAGACGTGATCCACGACGACATACCCACGCGACCTATGACGCGTCAAGCTCAAACGCCGACAAAGAAATAGCAACTATACCGAGCTACCGAGAAATATATTAAGATTTTTTACAATAGTAGGATGCCTCTCCAGTACAGGCGTAAATCGCATGCAGCAAACGTAAAACCAAGAAATTCTGAGTGCTGCCAACTTCGAAATTCAAGATGAATTGAAAAGACATAATTCCTGTTGTACAGTAAATATGAAGCCGATTGACGAATTGTTGTATAGATATGGGATATATTGTATGAATATAGGATGGACGAATTGTTATAACATAAGAGACATCCCATATAACTCTATATAACCATTTTGTTATAACAAGTTGTCAATTGGCTTCATGTTTACATTTACAATTTTTTGAGGCTACGTATGTACAATAGGAATTATGCCTTTTCAATTCATTGTGCACTTCGAAGTTAGCAGCACTTAGAATTTCTTGGTTTTACGCTTGCTGCGTGCAATTTCCGTCTGTATTGGAAAGAGTTTCTCGTCTCGTGTACCTTTCCACCCTCGCTTCGCTCGGGCGTAAACGCCACACCAAACAAGAATCTACTTTCCCGCACTAGTATCGTAATGTACTATTTCAATAACCCGTGCGAAAAATATGTCTTTCCCACACGCTCGGCAGAAAACGTGCGTTGAAAATCGCACTTTCCACACATCATATAAAAAAATACGGTACAGCACATGTTCGGGAAAGAGATTCTCGTCTCGTGTACCTTTCCACGATTGTAAATGTCACACGAGACAACAATCTACTTTCCCGCAATTGTATTGTAATGTACTATTGTAACTATCTCCACGCTAAAGTATCATCATTTCCCTTCAAAAATCAGTATGTGTCGTTAAGCTGAAGGATAAACAACAGATTTTTTGTATCCTAACCATGTCAACTTTTGTGCCAACAAAACACAATTTGCGGGAAGCGCTGCTTTTTTGTTTTTATTTAAAGAAAAGTGTAATTGATGGACATCGATTATTGTGTGAAGCATATGGGGAACATGCTTCATCAATAAAAATATATGAGTACTGATTCCGGCGCTTTAAGAATGGCGATTTTGATACTAGCGACAAAGAATGCGAAGGAAGGCCAGTAAAGTTTGAGGACACTGAGTTGGATACGTTATTGGACCAAGATTCATGCCAAACTCAAGAAGAGCTCTCTGAAACTTTAGGGATGACGCAGCAAGCAATTTCAAACTGTTTCAAGGCCATGGGTATGGTGCAAAAACATGGAACTTAGGTTCCGTATGAACTCAAACCAAGAGACGTCGAATGTCGTCTTTGCATGTGAGAACAACTGCTTCAAAGGCACAATCGTAAGAAATTTTTACATCGGATCGTAACGAGGGATGAAAAGTGGATCCACTATGACAATCCAAAGCGCAGGAAATCGTGGGGTAAGCCCGGCTATCCATCAACTTCAACGGCCAAACTAAATATTCATGGCAAGAAGTTTCTTCTGTGTATCTGGTGGGATCAGCTCGGAGTGATCTATTATGAGCTACTCCATCCTAATGAAACCATTACTAAGGAACGTTATCAATAACAATTCATGCAATTGAACCGAGCATTGAAGGTCATTGAATGCTCCTAATATACCAAAAGACACGACAAAGTGATTTTTCAGCACGATAACGCTCGGCCACATGTTGCAAACATCGTTAGATACTTTAGAGGCGCTTCAATGGGATGTCCTACTCCACCCGCCATACTCACCTGACATTGCCCCTAGTAAATACCACTTGTTCCGGTCAATGGCTCATGGCCTAGCCGAGCAGCATTTTACTTCTTACGAAGAAGCTAAAAATAATCACTAGGAAAAATATCTTAAATTATAGAATTTGTTACAATTGTAAAAAATAAACACAAGTTGTATATAAAAATCAATAAATTGACGAAGTTTATAAGCAGCATATTATAACATTTCAATTTTTATGTATCATTCTCATGGTAATTTTTGCCATTCATTAGTAGTAGAGAAGAGCAATTATAACATATTGATTCTTCTTTATCTATAATCAATGAACAATCTTGATGTCTTTGAACATTATCAGCAAGTGTAATAAGATTCTTTTCATCTTCAAAATTCATATTGGGTACACCTGAAAAATATATTTTTTATGACATTTCAAATATCAAAATATAAATCTACATAAAAATATTGTATTAAGTATTAATTACCTATGCATAGAGGAATTTTATCTAATTTTTCAATAATATCTTCTATATCTATTAATGAATTCACCTTGAAACTTTTGATATCTTTCAATAAACTATTGATTTTTATTTCTTTATTTAAAAGACCACAACGTAATATCATTTCATCATTAAGAAATACTTTTTTTTCAATATAAGGCATACCAGTATTAGAAATATTCATACAAGAGTATAGAATAGTAGTTGCAAGTCCTTTACAGATCATAGAAGCTGACCAGTTTTTAGGTAATGAAAGTTCATTATATATTTCCAAAAAATCTTCAAAAAGCATTGAATAACTATCATTATTTGCTATCTCTTGTATTAAACTGTTATCTTTTGAAAGTTTCTGATTAAATTCACTAATTTCAAGATTTTCATTGAGTTGATCAACATGCCAGTAATTTACAGATTTTATTATTTGTTGATATTTAGTACATAAAGTTGATAAAGGCTTCTTAAACACTTTCTCGTTATTTTTCAAATACGATTTCCGTGGGAAATATGTTAAAATATTTTGTCCATTTCCAATATGAATTTGAATAGACTCATTGTTTTCTTTTGTAAAAATACTGTTTGAATTAGTATAATTAATATACATGATATCTTTATTCTCATCAATAGTGCTGCTACTTAATTTATTTTGGCAGTCATTACTGTCATTTATTTTTCTTTTTTTCATTGGTTCCATTGGAACATCTTGGAACTCTGCTGATCCTTGTGAATCTTCAGGTATATATTCATAAATTTCATCTTCTAAGTTACAATTTGAACTATCGTTGAAACCTTCAGTATTGGAAAGATCTATATTTTTACAATATTTTTTACCATCCAAAATAATTTCATCATTTTTAAATTCTTCAGATGTATCATCGTCAACAGTTTGTTTTACATTTATAGGAATAGGAATTGCTCCTCTTCTAAGTCTACATTTTTTATACTTAATCTGTAAGTTATTAATGTTTATTTGTACTTGACATTTATAACTGAAAAATATACTGTGAGTAGTTGAATTTGTAAACTTACTGTAATTACTTGAGGTGGTACTCCACTAACCCAATGGGTTATAATATCTTCTTTTTTGAAATGTTTACTGCAAACAAATGTTTCATTGTTAACTACATAATCTTTTATATTGATAGCTTTTTGCCATAAACGTCGAGTGTCTGGATCTTTAGGCGCTGAAAAGAAACTATAAGTATTTTTGTAATTTTTACTTTTACATATTGCACATTTTCTTGTCATCTTTAAATTCCAAGTAAAATTAATTCATAGAACACAATCGCACTTGCTCATCACCTATAACCCATATAGATTTTGTAGATTACGGGCCACGGACATTGGACGATTAGACTAGGAATAATCAAATCTTATTGAAAAAGACGACAGATTACTTAAGTACTTTGGTGCGTCACAATAGTCACAGTACTCAGTGATTTCATCTTAAATTCAATCAATATATAAAAATAAAAAATATTAATAAGAACACATTAAGAATTAATGTAAATCTACATTTATTAAATATTGATTTTCAAGTATCAATAATTTTGCTGATATTACACGCGAGACCGTTCACATTGTAATCATATCTTTGTCTCTCTCTCTCTCTCCCTCTAGCGCCTACCCTCACTCATTCTTTCTCTCTCTCCCTCCCTCCCTCCCTCTCTCACTCTCTCTCTCTCTCCATCAATATAATTATTCCGGTTTGTGCGTTTGTGGGTGCTGCATTGTCTGTATGTTGTGGGCAGTGTGCTGTAGGAGTTAAGAGAAAATGTAGGTGTTGTGTTAGAGATTGTTTGTAAACAATCTTCCATTTAACGTATTTTTAATTAAAAACATATCGTGTATTTTAATAATTCAACATTTACCGCATATATCAAGATTTTTTAAATTTCTGTACAAATATTTTAACATTTCAACGGTAAGATGTTCCTATAGATAAGTGAGAATCCTTAAATCAAGACACAATTGTTTTTCTCGTAAACGAATAAAATGGAACAAGAGTGCAAACCAATGTATCTATAATAATTATTTATCTTGTTATTAGCAACAATGTAATTGTATTCAATATTAGTTTTAAGTAAGTAGTTTATTTTAATCTTTTAGAACAATGTTGAGTAATCAAAATCAATTGGAAGAGGTTAGCCTGCCTGACGTAGTCGCTGGTTTCAAAATGTTAGCTGTTGACAACCCAGAAGACGAGATATCCCCAGTGACAAGCCAAAGATCTTTGAGAAAACGAAAACCAAGGAATTTACAAGTAGTAGATCTTAATCTTAATAGAAGGTGAAAAATATTCATTTATATTTTGTTAAATTAATATTTCTTTCACTCTCCATTTTTCAATAACTTAAATATAAACTTCAAAGCTGGTAGAGTAAACCCACAAAAAACTTTTAACATGGCGTATTATTATTGGTTATCTGCATTTTATCAATAATTTTTCGCCTTTGAGATCAATAATCTAAAAATATGAACTGTTATATATGGGTTCACTCTACTAGTTTTAAAGTTTATATTTATAAGTGATCTTTTATTGATTTTTGGTTAATTTTGAATTTGAAAATTTACGCATGCATTATTTCCTATTAAAGATGCAGTCTGAAACCTAGAAAGAGGACGTTTGCAGAAATGGAAAGTGAAGAACAAATAAAAGAGTATTATTTAGATAAAACTGTTAAAAAGTACAACAATTCGTTAGAAACTATTTTCGAAGAAAAGGATGATTCCAATCAAACAACTTGTATGATGAGTGTTAAGCGATTTAAAAGAATGATTCAATTTACACCAGAACCAACCGACTCAAAACTTAAGAAGAGAAGAGAAAAAATAAGAAAAGTTTTTGGTTCTAAGATTAATCATAAGAGAAAGCGAAAAGTGTCAATGCAATCTTTATTAGATAAACTTCATGGTGCGCACAGTGATGTGTCAATCACAAATTCTAATGATTTTCAATAAAAGGCTGAAATTTTAGTTTTAAGTTTTTTTTATTAATCAATATAACAAAATAAGCACAAAGTTGTCTTTCCTATGATACAAACAATATTTCATTTGTTAAAAATATTCCACATAAGAACTATAAAAAACTTAATATTAATTAAGCTTTTGATTATTTTTTCAACATTTTTCTTGTGAATTGATTTGTATTAAACTTTTGTTTAAGCTTATCACTCACAAATTTTTAGAACATCAAATCCACATTTATTTACAATTGCAATGTTCTAATTGGATTATTTGGAAACTTATTTTTTAATTTTAATTACAAAGATTATTGACAGTTAAGAATATTTGTAGAGTTTGAGACTTTTTGTAAATATGTATGTAAATCTAAGTGTGTTTAATAGAATTTAAGCAACATTAAATAGATGCAATTTGTAAAATATTGTTTCTATTTTTAATGACAATCTATCTCTATTATTGGTAGTTAATTAATAAAGTGTTAATATAAAACAATATAGATTTGAAGTTCTTTTTTTCAGTTTTGTTCAATATACATAGAGAAATATAAATGATGTAAAATAATTTTGTGATAATTAAATTTTATAAAAGTTATTACTAACTGAATCACTTATAAACTTTAGTTGTAAAAAGATTATAAGCCTTATATTTTGCAGCAAAATTAATACTGTAGAAGTAGATAAATTTCACATTATAAAATTTTTATAACTATTTTTATAAAAAACAATCTTAGCACAAGCCTTCATAAAATTTTCATTGAAAAATAAGAACATATGCTTAGTAGCTAATGGACGGGCTTATTAATTAGTTGTTATAAAATTGCAAGTGCTGGAATCTGCAGCACAACCTTCATAAGCTTGTATGATCCCTTTGTTTTCTTCATATTCTTTACTATTCAGGTCAACACAGGCACAACGGTACTGTTTTGATTCAAGATTCTCATACAACATTCTTGGAACACCTATCCAATTTCTTGTGATTCCTCCACTGGTTGAGTAATTTGAAATTAAAGATTAGTTCAATTGCAAATAGTAAAGCAACTTTTTTTCAACAAAAGTAATTTTTTAAATTACCTGTTCTTTGTACACCAAACAACAGTTCCACTATCGGCATTCCATTCAATATTGCATGGTGGAAATTGTAATTTTATTTGTTCTTCTTGTGAATCTACTTTTTTTGCCAATTGTACTTTTTCTTCTAATATAGCTCTTTCATTTGTAGGACTACCATCTTCGTGATAATACCTTCCTATTAATTTTCCTGAAAAATATATTATAATAAAAATAACAAAATATTTCGAGTCAATAATATATTACTTTTATTAAATGCTTTGAAATAATTTAATTCCAACACAATGACTTCTTACCTTTGTATACATATGTTTTTCTATAAAATTCAACCCAGTTCATTAATGATTGAATTTGTTTGTTTGTAAGACTAGAAACATCATCAGTTAGTCCATTTTCATTAAAGTCACCTGTAATAAATGCTGCAGAGGCGTCACGTCCTAAGAGTGAATAAATTTATGTTAAATTATTTTTTACAATATTATTAAAATACTTTCAAAATAAAATTACATCATATATACCTGTAAATGCATGGTATGTTTCTCCAGGACCATAATGCTTAACTCCTTTTGTTACATCAAAAACTTGACCTAATATTGATAAGTACAAGCCATCATTTACATTAGAAAACTTATTAAGAGTATTCTTGGTGAATAAAATTCCTCCTTGATTATCAACAACTACTTGTTTAAAACTTCGTTTGAAAAATATTCCAAGTTTATCATTATAGTAACTTTCTACATATTTCAACACTTGAGTAAACTGGTTACTCGAATACAACATGTACAATGTAGATATAAAAAATAAAATCCAGACATACTTAGGCACCATTGTTAATTAACAATATAAATTAAATAACATGTTTAACAAGTACAATAATTATAATAATATTATCTAAAAACTAAAGTCTAAATCAAGCTTAAACACGAGTACTATCATGAGACTCGAGTTACTCGGATATCCTGTCCCGTTTTGATACACGCATGCAGTCCATCTATGCGCCATCTAACGATGTGTACTCAATGTTGAGGTGTCAATTTAACATCTGTAAATCAAACGGATCAAACATACAGTTATTGTGTGTTGGATGTGTAAATTGTATATTATATATGTACGCGACTAAAAAATAAACAATTACAAAGATATTTTAGTTAGTATGCGTTTATGGTTTCATTTTACATCCATGTATGTATGTAAATACGTGCAATAAGACAGGACGTCAGCTGGAGTTTAATACTAAATCCTTACATTGCTATTCGTTATTAGTCATTCATTGTCATAGTGAATCATAGATCAACGTGGATCTAAAAATTTTCAATTATGGATTTTAGTATCATGAAATGAGGTAGAAGGAACTTCATTTTAAAAGTAATTTATTTGGTCAACCTTAACAACTGGATTCAATCGTTCTTTCTTAATATCCTAAATAAAATATCAAGAAAAGGCTGTGAAACTGTGCAAAACTGTGCTTCCTAAATAATGCAAAATTAATTTAAAGGTGAAATATGGTTTTCCTTTTCGTTAGATTACCAGATTTAAATTTTAATAATATTAGCAACTATGCAAATTATAGATGGATTTTTAATTTTGATGATTAAAAAAATTGCTAAAAAAATATAATAAAGTTAGTTAGAAAATCTTTTTTACCAAAAGTTGTCCTTGCACTATAGAGTTATATTTGTAAAAGTTATTCTGACATGGATTATAAAGATCATATTCCATCTAGAAACTTTAGATTATTATCTTGCTAAAGAAATTACATTGGATTGGATTGTTTTAAAATCAATTTGGCATCAAAAACAATAAATTGTTGATTTTTTTTAAGGATTCAAAATGCCAAGTTCTAATCTCTATGCCATCAACAATGAAGGACGAGTATTTTCACTTGCTACTAATGGGTCTATGTGGAGAGAATTTACTTATCTAGGTCTTGAGTTTAAGCAACTGTCAGCAGTTCCCCATTTTATGTGGGCTATTGGTGGTGATAGACAAGTTTATGTTCATGTACATGGTTTAGATGTTCCCATTAGAATCAAAGAAGAAACTTATGAAAATGAGGTAGATCTAAAGTTTATTATACAGTATTACTAGAATTTAACTGTAGTCAATAAATACATTTCCATTTTGATTGAAGCGATGGCTGCCTTTAGAAGGATTTAGTGGAAGACTTTTACCAACAGATAGGTATCATTTTTCTAATCAAGATGGCACAGTCAATCGTAGTCGTGATAAGGTCAAGTTGCCTTCCATGGCATGGCAATGGGAGGGTGATTGGTATATTGAGACACTTTTAGATGGACAGCCATTAGATCATGATGTGAGTGGACTTGATTTTATTTCCAACATTTTTGTTAAAAATAATACACAATTATAGCATTGAATTTTAATAGGGATGGACCTATGCTGTTGATTTTCCTACAACTTATACTGCAACAAAGCAATGGAAATCTTGTGTCAGAAGACGTAAATGGGTTCGTTACAGGAGATATAGTGCAATGAATTCTTGGTGTGCAATTGCACCACTTCACAAGGATGCTACAAAGGTATATTTTGAAAACATTTTTTTTTTAAGTTAACAAAGATAATAATTTATTTAATTACAAAAAACGTAATTTTAGGAGCCTTTTATAGATGTTTCAATTGGAGGAAGTCAAATGCCTGGTGATCATTCCGGAAATCTTGTTGTATGGGCAGTAACTGCCCATGGAAGGGTTTGTGACAATTTTAAAAACATCATTTAAGAGGATTTACTTACCCAAAAAGAGTTCCGCACAATGAAAAAAGTTTTTCATCAGTTTAACTTGCTCACATTTTAAAAGTTATTGATGGATTAAAGCGAAAAAATTTCAAAATACTCTTCTTAACATAAAGTTTTAAACAGTATTTTCCTGAAATCGATAAGTACTTTTGTTTATAAAAAATTGTAATCTCGAAAGTTACAAAATGGGTCATTTAAATCGTTGAAAATCTGTTACAAATTTTAAAAATTAAATGTAAAAAATTCTATATTGTTTATCAACGATTCAATAATACGTGTATCAAATTGGAAGTCTTAATAGTGATTTGAAAAATTTATAAAAGCGACTTAGTGGAACAGAATCGTATCGAGGCATTAATGTTTAAGTACATTTTTGTTAATAACTTTTTTTAGAAACACTATTATCATTTTTTTTAATATACCAATCGTTTCATAATTAAATAAATTTTATTTTATAAAAGTTTCGCGATTATCTATGAAGCGTTTTATATTCATTTCAGTTAGAAAATGACAAAATATCGCCCTATGTGTTTCTTCGTAAAAAGCCAATTTTCCGATTTTTAATTTAGAAAAGCAACATATAACGCATTTTTAGAAAATCATAAAATAGCAAAATTGTTATAACATAACGTTTATTTAATTATGGGACTATTGATGCATTAAAAAATATGTATCGATGCTATAAAAAAATTTTATACAAGTGTTCTTAAAAATCGATGCCTCATCGCAACGTTGTTCCACTGAATCGTTTCTATAATTTTTTCAAAACAGTATTAAATTTTAAATTTGATACATGCATTCTTGGATTGTTGATTAATAATGTAGTATGTAAAAAAATATAATTTTCGAAAATTAATTCGAAAATCGAAAAAAGGCGAGTTGAACTGATAAAATGCTTTTTTGTTGCGAGAAGCCCTCTTTGACAACCACTGAGAAAGTGAATTACGTCTAATATTAATTTTACAAATTATTATAAGTTTTGATTCTTTTAGGTGATGTTTCGAGTTGGTGTAAGTACAACTTCTCCAGAAGGATTACGTTGGAGTGCTATTAAAATGCCAACTGGAGATGAAGCACTGCATGTTAGTGTAGGCGTAACTGGCCTTGTATGGGTAGTATTATTGAATGGTAAAGCATTAGTCCGTAAAGGAGTTACTAGAGAAAATCCAATGGGTATGTTATTATGATTTATAATTTAGATGTAGATTTACTTCTCAAAACAAATCAATTTGTAAGATCCTGTTATCTGAAATAATGCAGGAGATGAATGGGTTGATGTTGAACCACCAAAATTAGATTTAAGATTGACTCAAGTTAGTATTGGCATGGATGCTGTTTGGGCTTTAACTCACGAAGGAAGCGTTTGGTTTCGTAAAGGGATAAAGGGTGAGATGGGTGGAATATCCGAGCAGTTGGCCGTGGGTACTGGTTGGGTTGAAATGTCTACAAAAATGATATTGGTATCCGTTGCACCAAATGATCAGGTATTAAATCAAGCGGAATGACTTTTCGTGATATTGTAGCATTCATGTTTTAAATGCTATTTTTTTAAGGTTTGGGCGATTGGTCAAGAAGACAGATTTTTGTATTATCGCACCGGTATAACTCGATCAGAATTGACGGGTAAGAAATGGAAACTGTTAAACGCACCTTTTCAGTTGAGCAGAGCTAGCAGTAATGCGAGTTTGTCATCAAGCAATAGACACAGTATTTGCGGTACACCACATAGCCGAAATCAACCATATGGTTCTTTGGTAAGTATACTGAATATTTGTTATAAAATATTGCGTGATTGACAAGATAAAATAAAAATTTTACTCTACTTTAATAGCAAAATCAACGACCTGTGAGCACCAGTGAAAATTTAATTAAAGAGTGGGAAGAGCAATCAAGATCAGCACCAGCTCCAACCTCTCTCAAACTTATGAAAAACCATACTGAGCTACTTGAAAACAATATTCAAAAATCTGCCAAACCAGAAACGGGTAGTGGAAGTACAAGGTAAAAAAGTTTTATATAGTTGTGTTTCATTATTTTTATTAAGCCTGATTTATCATATAAATTTATTTGTATAAATAAAAATTTACAGTTCGGTTGGATCTGTAGAAATAAACGATACAAATGAAATAAATCCCGCAAATATCGCCATCTCCAATGAAACATTACACAAGAGTGGAGAATCAATAGTGATTTCTGGCAAGGGAATGGGTAGCACAGTAAAGGTCAATCCTGGATCTTGGAGTCCAGTTCATTCAGTTGGATCAGTAGTTGGTGCTGAAGTTAATCCAGAGACTGATGGAAGTATTTTTGATCCTGATTTAACTAGCGAGTCTGGTGTCTTTGGAGAAGATGAGAGTGCTGCGATTATATACTGGACTGAATGTGAGATGCAGTGGAGTAAAGTAGAGGCTGGTGCTTGTTTAGTAGACCTTAATAATCCACCGAAATGGTATTCATGCATTTCTTTAAATTTTGATAGTCATAATAATCATAATAGAATATTTACGACGTTGATGTTTCACTGTGGCTAGGATTGCTGAGAGTAATGGTTCATCGCAAGGCGAAGTAGCTGAAACTTGGAGGATACAAATTTTAGATGAGCTCAGAAAAAGATTGAAAGATATTGACTTTGATATTTCTTTGTATGAAAGGGCTGTAGAAAAGTAAGTATTAGCAATTCATATGTATCGTAAAGTATACTTTAAAAAAGTTTTCTTCAAATAACATTTTTATTACTGTTGTAGATCCTCGTGGGTGAAAAATGGCGAGGCTAAGTGTAAGCTAAAAGGATCGTTAACTTACGACGATTGTGTTGTTGAATTAGAATGGATTAGCAGTGATAGCGAAACATTTGGCTCTGGTACCTTGACAATATTAAATCCTGATGGAGTGACAACATTAGTATGTAACTCTACTTTGTATATGCTCATTAATTAATACATTATAGTTAATGAACATGAAATGATTGCAGGTACAATTTTCCATATCAGAAGTAGTATGTGTTGTTAACTGTAGTGAGCCAGGATGTCCTCGTTTAGCGATTCATACGCCACGTTTGACGAATAATAAAATACCAAGACTGCAATTCAGCAGTGATGCGGAATTGGAAGATTGGATGGCAAATCTTACGTCAGGTATTTTCAATATTGTTCATTTTTGCTTTTGTTGTTTGTTAAATAGTGCTAAGAATAATACTTTGGACTTTTAGTATCTTGCAAAGTAAATAATGCTTTTGGTCAGCCGAGTAAAAAAACTATTTGGACTACTACTGCCTTAGGAGATGTATATGTTTATGATCCCGTTATCACCGAGGTAGTACATCTATTTACTACTTTTTTTGTAGATATTTTTCGCAAAATAAACGTTGTAGTAATATTTTTTATGTTATAGGAAAATCAATTCGACAAAGGTTTATATAGTCAAGAATTAGACACAGCTGGAAAGAATTTACCATTTGAAAGTATTTTACAAAATAGTTTTGGACCTGGTAGTTCTTTACACGTCGTGGTGTGCATTCACGATGATGCAGATAGGTAAGTCTTGAAAATTTTTAAAATATCACGTTTCACACAATAATTAACCATAATGATTTTTGACAGGATATCATTCAATCTTGTTTGTCATACGTCAACACTAACTAAATATCGACAAACTGTAGATACTCATGATGTAGCTTTTCATTTCAACCCCCGTTTAAATGAGAGCATAATCGTAAGAAATGCATATCAAAATAATCAGTGGGGAGACGAAGAAAGAAGCGGAGATAGTCCTCTGAGAGCTGGATCTGATTTTTCAATGATAATCAAGTGTGAGGAGCGAGGATATCGAGTTTTTATAAATAATACCGAATTCACGTTCTTTAGTCATAAGATACCTCCACAAAATATTACGCATTTACGTATCAAAGGCAAAATGACGTTGTGCAGTGTAGTTTATAAATCGAAATTTGTAAGCTCATTGTTTGCATGCGAAAATGTTATTAAAAAAGTTACACAAAATTATATTTAACGCTTATTTTTCACAGGTGATTATCGAACCAATATCCATGTTCTGGAGACAAATAGGAGGTCATTTAAAGAAAGTTGAAACTTGTAATTCTGGTATAACTTGGGGTATCGGTTATGACAATACTGCTTGGGTTTATACTGGAGGATGGGGCGGTACTTCTTTGAAGGGTAAATTGAATTTCCAACAAAAACACGAAACTTAAAATTGTATTTCTTAATTACTCAAACATGTTATGTTTTGTAAATTTATAGGTTTAGACTTTAGTAACGCGGATATCAACCCGATGGTAGACACGCATAACTATTTTGTGTACGAAAACCAAAGATGGAATCCAATAACTGGTTACACGTCTCACGGCCTACCTACAGATAGGTACATGTGGAGCGATGCAACCGGGCGTCACAAACGCACACGAGAAAATACAAAGCTCTTGTCATGTCATTGGCAATGGGTAAGTTTAATTATAATAAAAGGAGGAAACGTCACCTTGAATAAATAAAACACGTTTTTAATAATAGGTATCTGAATGGATACTCGATTTTCATACACCTGGTGGAGTAGATCGAGAAGGTTGGCAGTATGCTACGGACTTTCCCTCGGAGTATCATGGCAAAAAACATTTTACGGATTACGTTAGAAGACGCAGGTGGTTCAGAAAGTGCCAACTCACAACTAGCGGTCCTTGGAAAGAATTAGGAAACACGAAATTATTCGACATGTCGTTATGCGTAATTTAATTTTTATTTAAAGATGTTGATATATTACCAGAGCTTTTTTTATTAAATATGAATCATTTTGATAGACTTCTGACGATCCAGAATCCGAAAGTCCTATTCATGTGTGGGCTGTAGCTACTAACGGTGAAGTATTGTTCAGACGAGGTGTTTCGGAGTACTGTTCAACGGTGAACTTTCATTTTGAACGAGTTATTGTAATCAAAATTAAATGATTAATACTGTTAATTATATATTCATTAGGGTGTTTCCTGGGAGCATATTCCTTGTGACCAGCCTTTAATAAGTATATCAGTTGGACCTTCGGGACAAGTGTGGGCTGTTGGAAAAAATGGATCATCTTATTGGAGATTCGGAGTGTCAGTTAGCAAACCTTCAGGTATAGTAGTCAAATCATTAATTAATCAACTCTGATTGACATGAATTATATGAAAATGCTTTTTTATATTCACAGGAGAGTCTTGGCAGAACGTCGAACCACCACCAGGAGCTCATTTGAAACAAATAGCTGTTGGTGTAAATGTAGTGTGGGCTTTGGATAGTTCCGGTAAAATATCGGTCCGCCGAGAAATTCAATCGAACGTTTTCCCCGAAGGAACGTTCTGGCAAACTTTACCTGCTATGGCTAATGATCCCATTCATATGGGTAAGCTCACTTTTTTCTATACCTTTGACGTTTAAAATCCGCATTTATAAAAGAAGTAATTTATTTTAAACACTTTTTAAATTTATTCGTAACAGGGTTCGATAGAGAAATTTCGATACCTTCGGCTATACGTAACTTACCTTCAGAGCTATTACGTTGTTCGTAGGCCTGTCTTTCTTATTTTTCTATTATACTTATCGTTTATTTTGATATTTTTAATATTTCACACTTTTTCTTTTTGAGTTGTAATTACACAAAACGAAAATCAAACCGAAGATCGCTATAGTTTTTCAATTTTTTCAGATGTATCTATACTAAACGCTAAACAAGGATTTCGTCATATTTCGGTCGGACATGTACCTGGTCAAGTTTGGGCAATATCAGGAGCTGGCATCGTGTGTCGTAGAATCGGCATCACAGAAGAAAATCCTGCTGGTTCTGGATGGTCTACTGGCATAGGAGTAAGTAATAACAATTGACAAATAATTTCGTGTAATACCATAATGAATTTGTGCCAATACAAAATTATTACTGTAGCTTATAAAATATTTGTTTGATAAATAATTATTTTATAATTAATTATTTCAGGCGAATTGGCAGCATATTGATGTTGGAGGCCTATCAAACCAAAAGATTTAAATATCGTGCATAATCTAGCTTTTATATATTTTTTTTAATGGATAGACTTATTCCAACATGCACAATATGACTTTAGCGCACTTACCTAACGAGGCTCTTCATTTTAAATCGATAAGCGGTGACGCAAAGAAATCTATATCAGTAACTGTAAATAATTATATCACTATATTCAGAAAGACTCTATTATATTAACATGCACTTCCAACAATTATTCTAGTCAAAGAAAACAAGTTATATTTCTTTTGATCATTTACAAAATGGCAGTTTTATATCTATATATGAATAAGCAACGGTGAAGCGATTGTTAAATTATATCGCCTTCATATTCAAAATGTGATTGTATAATATAATACATTTAAGCTTAGTTTTTCTAAACAATAATCCAACAGTCAAAGAGTCGAAGAATCTAATTTTTTTACAAACCGTCCCTTTTCTGAGGTACTTTTAACTTATGCTTTGATGTAGTATTTATCTTTCTTCTGTATAAAAGTAGATGCTCCATTTTTTGCTTTTATGTATGAAAATATAATTTTTATAGTAGCAGTTTATAGACTTAAGTTTTAGTAAAGCGAGCCTTTTTTTACGTTAAAGTATGTTCTCTTGTTAAGTTTGACTTAAATGATCTAGTGGTTTTGCATGAATAGTTTTGAAAATCTTAAAAATGTATCTATCAAAATCCCGATAAATTTATTATTAACTATGAATATTTGTACAACAAAAGCATTTATCATGTATCGATTAAAATAATTTAATTTAAAGTATGATTTAAGCATATGGCAGCATGTCTGACCTTTGTTATATAGTGATTACTTATTTGATATAATAATTTTCCTTTTATTAGAATTTATGAAATAAACAACCAAAGTACGTCTTAATTAAAAACACAATGTTAACTTATTTATTTTGATATCAACAATAATGACAAGTATGATTAAGTACTTAATAAAAAAAAACAAAAGAAAACATTAAAAAGAATTGGTTGAAAGATGATAATCTATGCATATATACACATGTTCGTGTATGAAATAAAAGGATAACTTTTGTATTTACATGGCGCGATTATTTTAGTCTGCGCCTTGTGCTATAACATATTGTATAAAGAATTGGCACAGCCATTAACAAAAAATCATGCCGCACAAGTGTAACGCAAAATAATTAATTTGAATTTTCAACAATACAGTCTATCAGTATTTGATGTAAATAATTAATTAACGTGATTAACGTGGAATGGACTTAAAGGATCAATACAAAATGAACAAAAGGCTCATCTTATTCGATCTAGAAAAACTACAACTGGCACGAAATTGGTTCACAGAAAAGAGTTGATAACTATAATCAAAACAATGAAAACAGTCTTGATTACGCGTACAAATGGTTTTTGGGTCTGTATCGAGTGTCATTCTTCGTAAAAATATCTTTCAGAAACGTTTTCCTAATCATTTAAAAAGCTAACGTTAATGCACAAAAATCCGACTGTTTTTTTCAGTCATCGAAGACGCAACAAGTTCGAATAAATCTAAACGAGTTTCAAAAGTTGGGATGCGTTATGGATAATAATACTGCAGCTCAGCGACAAAATACAGTTAGGGTGATCGATGAGCGAAGACCCGAGTCAAACTAGCACTTTGTGATAATTTGAACGGGGCTAACGTGGTTGGCGTACTTTCTCGCGAGCGTTTCAGCCTCTAATCTGTCTCGCTCACCTTGCACGCTATGACCTACTCCGTAGAAGAAGTATATGCAAAATCCTGAAAAAGAAAACAACGTGAATGGAAAGAAATCGGAGCTTTCGAATAAAAGTACCGACCTACGACCATCCACGCCACGAATCGAATCCACGTGTATATATCCAGCTGCAGCATCAGATACAAATTGATGACGATGCTGAGGCAAGGAATCAGGGGTACGAGTGGCACCTGTAAAATCAACGTAAGCGCTTCGCTCATCGACATGCAGAAAAGCCTGATGCGTGCTATGTACCTTAAACGACAGGTCGATTTCTTGGACCGGTTGCCGTCCTATTGCCGTAGCCGTGAGCACGGCGATTAGTAGCACGATCGCGAACAAAACGGACGGCCAGTGGCCTTCGAGCAGGCTGTAGTTGTTGAGCAGCAAGCCGATGACGAACACCGCGATCCCTGCAAGCAAAAGGGAAGGCACGTTGGGCGTGGTCGTCGAAGCGCGAAGAAAAATGGGCGATCGGCTTTCGCGACGCAATTACCAAAAATTAAAACGCCATATTGGGCGACGGAGGTGGAGAACTCCGATGACTCTTTCTGATTGTGGAGATTGAAGATTCCCTTGAAGTAGCTGATGGGCGTCGAGTATGAGGGACCGGCTGTCTTGGAGCTGGCGGGCGGTTGCGTTGGCAGATCGGTCTTTTGGTACCTGTGGACAAGCGGGACAAATCGCGTGCCGGTAAGCGAGCGACCGAACAAGCTCGAGCGGAGCTCACCTCAAGATCAGCACCGACACAGCGACGATGGTGTAGGCGAGCAGCGTGCCGATGGACATCATGTTGATGAGCTGCTGCAGGTCGAACAGCAGCGTCATGATTCCTTGAAAACGAAGCGGTTGAGAAACACTCGCTCTCGCGCTGCAGTGGGCGAGGGACATACCGGTGAGAACGCCCGAGATGAGAGTGCCCAGCACGGGCGTCATGGTTCTGGGGTGAACCCTGGCGAGGAACTTGAAGATGACGCCGTCGCTGGCCATGGCGTAGAGGACGCGCGGCAGGGGGAACATGGCGCCGAGCAGACTGGTGCAGAGCGCGAACACGGCACCGATGTTGACGATCCATTTGACGGTCGGCCAGCCGATCTGGTCGTACACGTACGGGAAGGGAGCTTGCGCGTCCTGTCCACACGGGAAATACAGCAGGGGTTAGTCGAGGCTGGGGTCGCGCGAGCGGACGCGCGGGACTACACTGGCCTGGTCGTAGTAGGGCCACATCATCGTGAGCACGGTGGAGATGCTGAAGTAGGCGAGGAAGATGATGGCCAGCGACATGACGATGGCCAGGGGTATGTTGCGCTGGGGCTTCTTCGCCTCCTCGCCAGTGGTGGCCACGGCGTCGAAGCCGACGAAGCCGTAGAAGCAGATCGCCGCGCCCTCCATCACGCCCTTCACGCCGAACGGCGCGAAGCCGCCCGCGCCCGGGTTCGTCACGTTCGCCGGGATGTCGGCCGGCCTGATCGACCAGTTGGCCGGATCGGCTGTGGGCCAGTTGCTCCGCGGTGAGCGATCGCGCGATCGCTACTCGGCGAACAGCGTCGGCGGGGCGACCTACCTTTGATTACGCCGGAGACCACGATGACGCCGATGGTCAGCAGATTAATGCTGGTGAAGATCTTGTTGAGCATCGACGACTCCTTGACGCCGATGGTGAGGAAGACGGTGAGGAAGGCGACCATGACGAGGGCGAAGAAGTCCGGGTACTTGGACAGGAAGGAGACGTCGATGGGCATGGCCGAGCGCAGAGCCCGCTCGATCGTGTGATTCGTCAGCACGTCGATGTAGCTGCTCACGCCTCGGGCCATGCTGGCCGTGCCTGTACGACAACAAACGGCCGGTCGAGCGCTTTGTTTTGCTGGCGATCCGCGGGCTCGATTCGACATACCGATCACGTACTCGAGTATGAGGTTCCAGCCGATGACGAAGGCGATGAACTCGCCGACGGTCACGTAGCTGTAGACGTAGGCCGACCCGGCCTTCGGCACCCTCGACGCGAACTCGGCGTAGCACATGCCTGCGAGCGTGTCTCAATCTTAGTTGCGGTCGCTCGACGCAAACTCAATGGGCAATGGCCGTACCCGCGAACGCCGAGGCGACGGCCGCGATGAGGAAGGAGATGCAGACGGCGGGCCCGGCGGTCTCCTTGGCCACGCTGCCGGCGAGCACGTAGACGCCGAGGCCGAGAGTCGAGCCGACGCCGAGGGCCGTCAGGTCCAGCAGACCCAGCACGCGCGCCAGCTCGCTCCTGTCGTCCGCCTGGTCGTCCGCGCGCCGCCGCGACAGCGCCCTCCAAATTCCGCACGCCATCGCCGAGCTCCTCGCGTCTCGCCTCTGCAACAGCACACCATTCGAGCTCCTGCCGCTGGCGATCGCCGAGGCGGTCCCGCTCGCTCGCTCGCTCGCGACGCGACCCGAATGCAGCGGGCGATGGCGCGCGTCCCGACCGGCGTCATCGCGGCGCGAGTGCCCGCTGATCGCGCGCCTCCGTATCTTCGCGACGACGACGCTGCCACCTCGCCCGCGATCCGAGACCCACGTAGGCTTTGCGCCCGACAATCGCACGCACCACTGCTTGTGAATCCCGATCGTACTTGGGCTGCGCGGCAGAGCGCGGACAGCTCGCAATCGTCGACTAGGGCGTTTTGCCCGCGAGGCGAGGATCTCATGTACGTCCAAAGTGCCATTTTTAGCGCGTCGTCTGCCAAAACACACGACGTCCAATGAGCTGTCGGATCATCGATCGGATCTTGAGCAGACTTACCTCTGTCGATGACCTCGCAAGGGAAACGTGTGATCGCACGTGGAACGTTGGTTACTTACTAATGAAATGTAATCGAGGCGAATCTGATAACGCGTAACGTCGTTATAATCATAAGCTGCTTTTTATCATAAATATAAATCCAAGTATCATTATCCGCAAATCAGAACGTGATCGCGCGTTGAATCTCTGCGCGATACACGTATATACTTGTAGCGCGGAGCGCAATCGCGATTATTAGGCTTTGATTAACGCGGCGCAACGTTGCGTGTCGCCGCACACGTACCCTCCGCAGCTTATCTCATTGCCTCGTGTGCGACGACCTCGCGCGCGGTCTAACGATTCGTCGACTTATTACCTGCCGAGATTCACCACCGTTCGCTCGTCGTGCCACGGCATAGCCGCGTTCGCTTGGACGACCAGTCATCTGTACCTCCGCGCGTGGCCGCAGTCGCGATTGTAACGTGATTGCTCGCTCTTTTCCGCGGCGAGCGGATCTCTTCTTTTCCGAGTACGCTCGTAGCGCACTTTTATTGCCTGTTTCGTTAGGCGATAGCCGTAAGCGCGCGCGAGACCGTTGCTGCCGTTGCCACATTCCTTCTGCACGTGCGCGCCGCGCTCACGCTTACGGCTGCCGACTCGACTCCGCTGTCTCGTCGAACTCGCGTCACCGGTGATACGCGCGCGCGCGTGCGCGCATCGAAACACGACAAATTGACAGTTAATGGCGAGCGATCGAATCTTTATCGATGCGGCGACGCAGCTCATCTCAGTGCTGGCTGGTCATTTGACGCGACCTTTAGCATTTTCGCGGTTCAGCATTGACAAGCGCGGCACGAAGCGTAAATTGGGCGGGGGGGGGGGGTCGATTCAACGGAGAACCAGCTGCGTAATGACGCGTCGCGCGCTCGGCAATCTTGCAATCTGCGGCGCGGACTCGCGAGGGACCGGGCCGGGTTTTTCGGCCGGCGAGCGCTAACTCGACGCAATCGCCGTCGACCGTGGCCCGTTTCGATCACGTTGGCGGCGAGCGCTCTGCGCGTCGGCGGCTCTCGTGCCCCGCCGACGCTCCGAGCCGCGTAGCTCGCGTTCGTCATCGCGCGACACACGTCGAGGGCGCGTTCAAGAGAATTTTTTTTTTTTCTTTCGCTTCCGATCCGGAGCGCGAATTCAGAGGCGTCGGTACACTTCTGTGCCACGCGGTCCGATTCTTTGGGCGTGACTTTTGCCGTGACAACCGCGCGACGTACAAATCACTGCCACGCGCAATTTCGCCGCGCGCGTAATGTCAAAGTGACCTGCCACGGCGTCGCGACAAATTGCGTTTTCTCTCTGTCTCTGTTTTTTTCGCGTAGTCGAGTGCCGCGGCTAATCAAAAGCTGCACATTCAGCCAATCTAGATTTGTCGCTTCAGAGGATGAGCGCGTTTAGCGTGACTCGGCTTGGCTTTACCATGACCGTATAGGTATAGCGCACGCGGGTGAACGCACTGTCGTTGCTTTTCTATGTCAATCGGACTTTTTTCAGGTCCGTCGTCAATTAGCGATCGGAGCAAACACTTTCTACGGATGATCGAAGAATCAGTGTCAGATCGATCGTATTGCCATAAACGACGCGTGGCAGGAGAAAAAAAAAAGTGGGTTTTTTCCTGTACACGCTCAACAATTGGACACCGCGCCTGGCACGTTTGGCGCTTGTTATTACCTATAATGCGTCTATTTAGCGCGCGGGAATGGAATATTTCCCGCGCAGGGGAAATAACGTTGAGCGCCCTGAGCAACGAAGCCGAAAAATCGTTTATATAGATTTTTTCTGATGCGGCTTCTCTTCGCGTGACGAATACGTTAGTTCGTGCCAAATTCACGTCTTTACGTAATAAACATCTTGTTTCAATGGAGTCACTCGTGCACGATATACGCGATCATACAATATATTTTCGCAGATGCATTAGTTTGAAAAAAAAAAAAATAGAAAAAGAAAAAGAAAAATATATATCCACCTCATATTTTCCTTTTATTGCGCTTCTGCACTCAAAGCAGCTTGTAATTAGCATAGTTAGTCATTATGGAGTGGCGAAGCCAAGTGCGTTGAGGATTATCGTGCTTATTACGGCATACCTGATCTATTTCCATCGGAGATGCATTTTCGGAATTTGAATAATAATGAATTAGTAACGATCGCGAGAAGCGAGCTTTAAAGACGTAATGACAGCAATTCATTAGGCGAATTGCAACGCTATCCGATTGAAATCTAATAAAAGGCATTGGTCAAGTCTGAGGAGTGCGAAGTAGAAAGAATATATTTTTCGCGTGGCATTGCGTAACGCGATATTTGAGCTGCAGCCAAAATGGCCTCTCAGAAGTAGCAGTGAGTTAGTTAAATTTCCGAAATGCTAATTGGACGTCTGACGCTTTCGTTGTCGCGCCTCGAGTTGCAGCAACTTGCCAAGACGCGTGTGCCGCGAAACCGCTCGACGCTGTCGCTGTGTCTGTGAAATAATTGTTGAATTGCGTTGGCGCGGTTTTGCGCGAAGCGCCACGTCCAGCATTCGACAAGCCGAAAGTAACGGCGCACAAAAGCTTTTTACGAGCGCAAGCTTTTCCTTGACTTTCGTTTTCAAATGTAAAGCACGTTGAGGTCACACGCTATACGTTATTTTTACATTCGGCACCGATAATACCTGGAAAGAAAAGTTCATACAAGTTGCAAAACAAGATGGATCGTAAAAATGAGTCGGAGGCGTTACTTTGTTCAGGATATTTAACGACAGATGACGCGTCCCATTGAGCGTTCGTCCCAAGCTGAATGCATCCGAAACTATTCACGTCGGTACTTTAAAAGTACGTGCCGTATGGGTGTAGCCCCTTCCTGGACAGCTCAATCGGCAAAATGCTACTCTTCGAAATTACGCAATTACGGAACTGGCTTGCTCAGAGCCAAAAATAAAATAAATAAAAGAATCGCGCAACAAAATAAATTCGAGATATTTGACGCTCACGTTTTTCAACGGAAATTCAGTGAGCTTATCCCGAATTCGAGATAGCATAGACGAATAGACGGACGAAGAGGTCACCGACGCTTGGGTCAATTGTTGTGACCTTCTGAAAATTACGCGATAAAAAAGATTAGCGAATTAAATGCAGCGATCGTTCAAATGCACCTACGAATGCCGAAGTCTCGCTACTTTTCCGTAAGTTGAGGCAACGTTGATATTTTTCGAGAACGATTACTTTTACGTGTTACCCGTGCGTGCTTTTCAGGCTATACTTGAGTGATGGTCGAGCGAGCAGAAATAAGTAGGCATCCACTTATAAATTATTGTATACGAATAACGTATCGGATAGGCTTACTGTGATACCTTTGACTTTTCGTCGAGAGCAAATAAAATCTACGAAAATATCTATTTTTCAACAAAATTCGCGACTATCAACGAAAAATATCATACAATTTTCCACGGCAGCCGTTCCAATGCCAGTGAATGAGATCCAGTGCAATTCAATCATTTAAATACCATAAAATTCTTCGTTTAATTACATAAAAAAAATCATATATTTACTTGCGCAACATATTTAGCACTGCGAATAATCACATCTGCTCCATTTATTTTTTTCAACAAGAAATGACAGAAAATGAAAAAAAAAATATGCAGCACAAAATTGCATATTTATAACTCACGACTAAGTCATGTAAAATGATGTGTAATAGTAGTTTATGTATATCGGCAGGGACAAGTATGTTAATAGCAATGCGCTGTTTTTTCGTTAAAATAATAGACGTATTTTTTTATTATTCGGTAGCTTAATAATTACGACGGAAACGATGAATCGGCAAATTTTTTGTTATTGATTCATAATCTTAATCCAAGCCTAATTTGTTCGAATACGCAAGAGATAATGAAAAGAAAAACGAAAGAAAAGAAAAAAAATAGTCGTAAGTAGAGAAAACGAAGGACGAAGGTGTAAGTATCTGTGGAGGAAGCGTCTATCCAAGCTGCAATAAAATTTATTTCTATAACGCCGCGCCGTCGTCGTTATCAGCTGCGGATTCCGAATTCTCGCGCGTGGCGTGCGATAAGAATCCGACACATCGGCGTTACTAACGCCGCGTCCATATTGTTATCTGGCCACTTGTCGCGCGACCCAATCCCAGAGGCGCGCTCAGCGCGTTCTCGTGCGCCAGCTGTGCGGAGCCGCGACGCGGCCACGGAGAACTTGGCACTCGCGGTGCAATGTTGCGACGATGCGAACATGGAAAAGGCGATCTGAATGGGTTTGTTGGTTCAGGGACATTAGAATCGGCGGATGCGAGATTCCGCGTCGAAAGTAAATAAATGTGCTTCTCGATTTTCCTCGCAACGTCCGAGCGGTGTTTTCAGCATCGTCGAATAAATGCAACAACGTCCATAGCTTAACTTGATTAACGCGAAACTGTAAAAGCCAAAAGCTCGCAGTTTCGGCGTGAGCGAACAGGCGGGCGCTCTAGTTCCAAACCGTGGCGTTAACAACCAAGCATTGCCCAAGATTTCACAATAAGCCGCGCAAGTCAAATAAACGCCGAAGAGGTAAGTGGGAGCTTGTTGCGCGTTAATATTGAGTCATAACGCCGCGCGTTGCATTTGTAAAGCGATTAAAAACGGCACTTTCCGAGAAGCGAGCGGCAGAGCGGCAATAATATAATGCCAGTGACGGGAGACAAGGCCGTAACGCCGCGTGCAATGATGAACAAAAAATAAGAAAAGAAAAAAAAAAATGTTCGGAATAATCTTTCCGCCGTGGGCTCATTAGACTTTGCAGAGAGCTTTTATCAATAACGCCGCGTAAATGTTTGCCTGGCGTCGTGTCGAACTCATTTATCTTTGTTCTCTCGCGCGCGCGCGGACAAATCGTTTCTCTTCTTCTTTGATCCCCGTTTTGATAATAAACAAATGGACGGCGAACGCAAGCCGGAAAAAAAAAAGATATATAGAAAAAGATGAAAGAAGACAATGCGCTCGCGACGGCGTTATTAACGCCGAGCGGTGGGGGAAGCGCGAGCGAGATAAGTCGCAACGCCGCGCGTTCCGATAAGAGCGCTGTTGTTTCGTTTTTTTTTTTCTTTTTTGTTTCTTTTTCTTTATACATGACCGCCGCGATTCGTCGCGCGTGAATCGAGCGTTAATGTGCGCGCGTTTCATTCACCTCGCGCACGGCGTTAACTGGATTACATTAAGAGCATGCGCATTGTGTCGCGGGCAACTTCTTTTTCCTTGCGCTTTGTCGGTGGCGGACGAGGAAGATCGACTTAAGATGTATACGCCGCGCGTCTTCGCGAGACACTTACCGGCTTGTTTGTTTTTCAGATCGGCTTATCGTGCTTATTTTTTTTTTTTTTTTTTTTGAGATATTTTTAATTTTTGCGAGAGAGCACCCAACGTCGCGATGAACGAAGGACCGAAACATTGAAAAACGGATATGATTGTTAATTCTGCAGTGACTTGTGTTAGAATTTAAACACTACGCAATTGACAACTTTTCATTAACGTCATTATCATTACTCGTGC